TACTGATTGATAAGTATGGTCCCAAACTTGGCGAATATTGCTTTAATGTTTAAGATATTAATGATTTACAAGATAACTTTCCAATTAATAGTTTAGAAATTTTTACAAAATAAATAGAATTGATGTCATATTGATCCCAAAATACTCTATAGACCTCATAATTATTGAAAATTTATTGTGAGTGTTAAAATACGTTTGATTCATAAGATTATAGGGTATTCTCAAGTGGATTTTAAAGATTTATTTGAGAAAAATATATACAGTAATTAACAAGAAAATATTATTGATTTATATCAACCAATCCCAAAAAAAATTAAAGAAATAATTTTAAATAGAGGTGTTTTAACAAAATATTGAAAATTTTCAATTAAAATATTAAAAATAAAAAATTATTTTTTAAAACACTTAAAAATTAATTATCTTTCAAAAAAGATTTGACCTATCATAAAAAAAAAAAATTATAAAAAAAATTAAAAAAAAATAAATTAAATTTTTTTATTTATTAAATATTATAAACGTTTATCTTTTTTATATTTTTGAACCAACTTTATAATATAAAAAAAAAATATAAAAAAGAACATATAAAAATTTTTTTTTTTCGTGACCCTATCAAAACAATGTTGAAAATACTGTACCTTCAACACCATCACTTCAACTAAACAGATTAAGAACAATAAATAATCATTAATAATAATAATATAGCTCAGGATCGAGGTTTAAAACTAGGATCGATCCTAAATTTTCTAATGAAAATCCGGAGTATAGGTCAGGTATATGAAAACTAATTGTTACTATAAGTTGTCTTTTACATATTCTTTTTTATAATCTAATTGTTACATATGAAATAAGGAGGAAAATAACTGGGCCATCTAAAATACTTTAATTTTCTGATACAACTAAATCATTCAACCATTCTCCTTTTCAAATTGTCATTTATCCCTAAAAATGCTGGTGTTTAATCTATAAGCTTCCATTATGATGATGAAATTCCTTATTTAGTTTTTTGATATTGTTTTCCTAAATAAAGAAAATAAGAAACAAAATAAATAAATTAAAACTTACCTATGACTTTTTATATTATGGTGTTTGATTTAAAATTTAAAAGTGTTGGATATTAAAAGTTTAAACTTTTATTTTCTTAATAAATTAAAATGTATTAGATCTAGAATGGCAAATACTGAGTCTTTAAACGAGCAATCAGTTGCTTTAATAACAAGCGAAAAAGAAAAAATCAAATTAGAAGCTTTGTAGACTCCCATCATTATATTAATTTTTCAAGGTCTCAAGATCCATGCCTATCATTGGTAGACACTAGATTATCAACATTGGTCTTAGAATATAACCCAAGCATGATTATTATTTTACCCACTCCTTACAATTTATTTTTAAAAACTAATCATTATTGGCGGTAAGGATCTTTAAAAAATTGCTAAATCTTATTTTATAATGTATTTTTTAAAAATACTGTCTTATTTTATTTATTTTTTCTTATTTTTTTTTATTTTTATTTTTCTTATAAAAAAAAATAGGTTAAATATTTATGAAAAGATAATTAATTTTTATCTTTTTTTTATTACTTTTCTTATTTTTTTTATTTTTATTATAATATTATTACATTTTAATAAAAATATAATAAATTAAACAAAATGACATAATCAATTTGAAAAAATAGAAATAATTTAAAATTATATGAAGTTGAATTTTACAATTCAAAAAAAGAAGAAATAATTGGATGCCGGTGATCAACAATTAAAACCATTTTGAGAAATAATAAATTAAATGATTCTAAAAAATATCAAGGAAATAAAAAAATATTTAAAGATTAAATTAAAATGTTTATAAAAAATTTATTGTCACATGGATATGTCATAAATTAAACTATACAGTATTTTCAACATTGTTTTTACCGGGTCAGGAAAAAAAAAAATTTTTATATGTTCTTTTAAATTTTTTTTTTTAATATTATAAAGTTGGTTCAAAAATATAAAAAAGATAAACGTTTATAATATTTAATAAATAAAAAAATTTAATTTATTTTTTTTTAATTTTTTATAATTTTTTTTTTTTTATGATAGGCCAAATCTTTTTTGAAAGATAATTAATTTTTAAATGTATAAAAAAATAATTTTTTATTTTTGATATTTTATTTGAAAATTTTCAATATTTTGTTAAAACACCTCAATTTTTAATATAAATTAATAATATTTTCTTGTTAAATAACATATTTTTCTCAAATAAATCTTTAAAATCCACTTGAGAATGCCCTATAATCTTGTGAATCAAACGTATTTTAAAACTCACAATAAAATTTCAATAATTATGAGGTCAATAGAGTATTTTGGGATCAATATGACATCAATTCTATTTATTTTGTAAAAATTTTGAAAAATTTCTAAACTATTAATTGGAAAGTTATCTTGTAAATCATTAATATCTTAAAAACTAAAGCAATATTCGCCAAGTTTGGGACCATACTTATCAATCAATACCAAACAATATATCATCTATTTGTATTAATATAAAAAAAATTGTATAGAACCTGCACCTCTCATAGAAGAAAATTAACATGTATTCACAGAAACTCCGATTGGTCTCTTTCTTGATAGAATATTATTTTGATTGTTATCTTTATCTTAAATCTATTTTTTAATTTCAAATTAATAAAAATATAGTTCAAATCAAGTTTCATCTGCAAAAACTACCCTTTTCCAAAATTCCACTGTGACTCACAGTGTATACATATACAGCACATACAAATTAACATGCTCATACACATATATAAACATATTCATCACCATCAGCATTATAATTGTCATGATTTGGTATATAATTGTTTATAATTGATAGTATTGAGCTACTTGCAAAATAGAAGAAATTAATTAATTTAAAAAAATACTATTAATAAACACATAAATGATTGATGTTATCTTTTTTATAAAAATAATGGATTATTTTTATTTTTGTTTTTCTCTGAAACAAGTCAGCCAACACCAGCATCAACAACTAAGCCTGAGCCGAAGAGACCCTTTCCAAGAGCCTCTATTTTGTGATAACAAAGAAAAGAAAGAGGAAATGGATAATGATTGAGTGTAATAAATTATATTAAATACTTAAATTTTAAGTGGATTATTTTAATTTAATTCAATTTAAATTTTTACAATATTAAGTTTAAAAAAATTAAAATATATTTGTTTTTATTTTTTTTTTATTATAAAAATCTTTTTTCATAAAAAAATTGAAAAAAAAAAAAAATTCAATTTTTTTAAATTATTAAAATCAAATAATAATAATCTTTTATTTTATGTATAAAAATTTGGTCCGTGGTGTTGTTTAAAATTTATTTTATAAATATAATATTTATATATATATAATAAAAATGATTATTCATTATATATATAAATATATATTTTATAAAATACAATTTATTCATTTACCAAATGGATTTTGAACTAAGCTATATCTTGAAATTATAAAAAACGATACACAAATAAATTTAGAATAATATGCAGATAAAAATAAAGTATATATAGACTTGAGAGGGTGCCAATCATTTGTCATGACAACTGTAGTTCGCATACAACAAAGAGAGTGAAACAATATTTAGAAGAAAATAATATACAAGTTTATCCATTACCACCCAACAGTCCAGATATTAATATAATTAAAAATCTTTGGCCAATTGTTAAAAAAAAGGTATCAAAAAAGATGTTTCGTGACCCATCACAAGACCTAGTTCAGATATGTCAAGATGCATTTCATTCAATAGAAAAATCAATTATAAAATCATTATATGAATCACTCCCTGACCGAAAAGATGCCATATTAAAAGCACATGGAGGGTATACTAAATATTAAATAATAATAATCATTTATATATAATTGTAAAAAAAAACAAATAAAAAAAAAATAAAATTTTTGAAATTGAAAAAACGGATAAAATATTAAGACTATTTTTTTTTTTATTTTAATTTTTAGCAAGTAAACCAATATCTTGTAATATGATTTATTTTAGAGGTCATTATATAAATATTAAATATGATCTATGAATTCAACAATTATCATTTCCATTTTAAAAAAGTTGGGGTCTAAATATATAATCCGGGCACTGTATAATGAAATAATTAAATTAAAAGAATTATCTTAAAAAAACAATTGAGAATTTTTGTGGAAATCATATGATATTTGTAGATAATTTATTTTATTTGTTTTAAAAAAAAAAAAAAAAAAAGATTAATCAACAAGACTAAAGAAACCTAGGAATATTTTCCAAGTTTAGATGAAAAGGGTTTTCTGGATTCTAACGAAACTATCCTTCATCAAGATGATATTAACAAATGAAGCCCGGAATTCGGAAAATTTTTGACTTAATTGTTAATATCATCTAGATAAAGGATGGTTTCGTTAGAATCTAGAAATCCCCTTTCATCTAAACTTGGAAAATATTCCTTACAAACAAGTTTAACTTCTTTCTTTTCCTCATTATCACTTAAGTTAAGTTCTTGAAAGATATCTCTTTGTTCAACATGGGTTGGAACTGTTGTTGATGTTGATGTTGTTGCTGATTTAGGGGTTTGACTTGGTTTCTTTAGTCTTGTTTTTAAATTATTATTAAAAAAAAAAAAAATTTTAAAACAAAAAAAATAAATTATCTACAAATATGATTTATATGTTAACTGGAGAAATACCAAAATAAAAATAATAAAATTGTTTGATTAGAAAGCCTCTTATTTATAGTTTTTCAATTCTCAAATTTTTATAAAAAAAAAAAAAAATAGTATATTTTTTCTTTGTTATTTCCCAAAAATTCTCAATCGTTTTTTTAAAATAATTTTTTTAATTATCTTAAAAATTTTGGAGAAAGTAAATAAAAATGTTATTTCATTATATATTTAAATATTATATTAAAATAAAATATAAAAAAAAATAAAAAGACAGTATGTTATTTTTTATATTTACCTTTTAATAAAAGGCTTTTATTGATTAAATAAAAATAAAAAATACAGGATTTACACAATAATTTAAATTTTTGATCATACTTGGTCAAAACAATCTTGGAAATACTGTAATTTAATAAAGTGTTACAGTAATTTGCATAAGCTTTTGGCTGGGTCTCAAAAAAAATTTTTTTTCAATATATCTTTTATATATTTTTTTTTTATATTATAAAATTGGTTCATAAATATAAAAAAGATAAACGTTTTAAGATTTATTAAAAAAAAAGATTGTATTTATTTTTTTTTAATTTTTTTTTTTTTTATGACAGGTTAAATATTTTTGAAAAGATAATTCATTTTTTAGTGTTTTAAAAAAAAAATTTTTATTTTTGGTATTTTGGTTAAAAACTTTAAATATTTTGTGAGAACACCTCTATTTTCCATTATTTGTTCAATTCTTTTTGGAATTGATTGATATAAATTATCAATACATTCTCTTTCAATTCCACATCAAATTTCATCAACTATTTCTTTAAAATCTACTCCAGGATTGCTTTGATTTTTGTAATAAATACATATTTTTATAACTGATCTTATTATTCAATATTGTTGAGGTCTGAAGAGTTTTTTTTAAATTTTTGAAAATTTCCCTAACTATTTTTGGACAGTTATCTTGTAAAACATTAATAGATTAAACATCAAGAAATATTTGCCAAGCTTAAGACCATACTTATCTAGTTTAGGTACCATAAATTATGTTCATCTATTTGTATAACAATAAACAAATGGTATTGAACCTGCGCCTCTCATATAAGAAAATTTACATTTACAGAAACTCCAGTTGGTATAATTCTTGATAGGATATTATTTGGATGGTATCTTTTACCTCAAATGCATTTTTAATTTTCAAATTAATAAAAATATGGTCTAATTCAAGCCTCATCTGCAAAAATTACCCTTATTCAAAATTCCACTGAGAAGTTACTAAATTGTATGGCCCATTGATATCTTTACTCGTGAGATAATGCTGGCATTTCAAACTTCTTATTGGTTAATTTAAAACTTGTCAAAATAATTCTTCCAAAGATATGGTTTAATTTATAGAAAATTATGACATATCCCAAGTGACAATAAATTTTTTATAACCATTTCAATTTAATCTTTCAATATTTTTTTATTACTTTGATATTTTTTAGGTTCAATTGGATCATTTAATGCATTATTTCTCAAAATAGTTTTAATTTTTGAACTTCGATTTTTTTTTTTTTTATTGGAAATTTAAAAATCTGGTCGGCTAAAATTTAGATAATTTGATGTAGTTTTAAAATAAAAAAATTGGTAGCACCCGCATCCAATTATTTCTTCTTTTTTTGAATCGTAAAATTCATCTTCATAAAATTTTAAATTATTTCTATTTTTTCAAATTAAATATGTCATTTTGTTTATTTTATTATAGTTTTATTAAAATGTAATATTATTATAATAAAAATAAAAGAAAAAAGAAAAATAATAAAAAAAAAGATAAAAATAAATTGCATAAATCAAAAGTAGCAAAAACATTAGAAAGAGTAGAACAGGCACAATCAATGACCGTAAACGTCTTGGGAGAAAAATAAAAAGTTTGACTAAAGTGATGAACATGTTTTATGTTTCAATTTTTTAATGAAAGTTGGTATACAGCAAAGATAATGAAGCAATATTTAGAAAAAAATAATATACAAGTTGATCCATTACCACCAACAGCCCAGATATTAATATAATTGAACTGTATATAATGAAATATCATTTTTATTTAATTTCTCCAAAATTTTAAGATAAATTAAATCATATTTGCAGTTATTTTATTTGTTCTTAAAAAAAAAAAAAAAAGATTAAAACTCAAAACCAAAAACAACAAGATATTTTTCAAGATCTAAACTTTAGTGACAACGAAGAGAAGAAAGTTAATTAAATAGAGTTGGATGTAAAGAATTTTTTCCAAGATCCTAATGTTAGAAAAACCCTTTCATCTAAGCTTGGAAAAATTCTTTGCGCCCAACTCTATTAACTTCTTTCTTATCTTTATTATCACTTAAATTAAGATTTTGAAAACTTCTCTTGTTTCAACTTGGTTTGCAACTGTTGTTTTTGATTTTGAGGTTTGATCTGTTTTCCATAATTTAATCTTGTTGAATCCACAATAAAAATATTTTTTTTTTTTTTTTAAAACAAATAAATAAAATAACTGCAAATATGATATCAGGAGAAATACCAAAATAAAAATAATAAAATTGGTTGATTAGAAAGCTTATTATTTAAAATGAAATATCATTTTTATTAAATTTCCAAAATTTTTAAAAAAATTTTATTAAAAGAAATACCTTAAAAAAAATTGTGGAAATAACTAAGAAAAAATATCTAATTTTTTTTTTACAATCAGTCCCAAGATCTTATATCATGGTATTTTAAAAAAAAATGATATTCATTATATATAAATATATTATATTTATAATTTAAAAATAGTTTCTTGTTAAATAACACACATATTTTCCTCAATTAAATCGTTAAAATGATTAATAAAATCCACTTGAGAATGCCCTATAATCTTATAAATTAAACGCTTTTTAACACTCACAATAAATTCTCAATAATTTTGAGGTCTATAAAGTATTTTGGGATCAATAAGACATCAATTCAATTATTTTTGTAAAATTTTTTCAAAAATTCCAAACTATTAATTGGCGAATATTGCTTTAATTTTTATAAGATAACTTTCCAAGCCTGAGACCAAACTTATCAATTAGTACATGCATTCACTAAAACTCAATTTGCTCTCTTTCTTGATAGAGTACTATTCTTTAACCTTAAATCTAATTATTAATTTCCAATTTATAAAAATATAGTTCAATTCAAGTTTCATCTGCAAAAAATACCCTCTTCCAAAATTCCATTGATATCTTGAGATAAGGCTTACATTTCAAACTTCGAATGAAATAACATTGCAATGGAGTGAACACTTATTATTGTGTTAAAATTTGTGCATTATAACTCTTCTGAAGATATTGTTTAATTTGTAGAATATTATGACATTTGATAATAAATGACCATTTCAATTTAACCTTTCATAATTATTTTACTATCTGGATATTTTTTGAGTTGATTGTAATTATTTTTTCCTATCTTTCCAATTCTTTTGAGTTAAATATTAAAATTAATAAACTTTATTTTAAAAACTCACAATATGGGGAAATTAAATAATTTTTTTATTATTTATTTTATTTCAAAAAAAAAAAATGAAATAACAACTTTTAACAACCTAAACTAAATTTAACTTTAAATTTTATAAATTATTTAAATGATTAGAAAATTTTTTTTTTTTTAAGAAAATTAATTTAAAAAAAAATAAAAAAAAATAGATTTTTTTTGAAATTTTTTTTTTAAAAAATTTTTTTTTTTTTTTTTTTTTTAAATTATTTAATTTTTTTTTTTTAAACAACACACAACCTTTTATTACTCGTTTTTTTAACCAGTGAATATGATATTAAAATATTAATTATTTTTTTTTTTTTATTATAAATAATAATAATAATAATAATAATAATAATATAATAAGAAAAACAATTACATATTCTTTTTTTTTTTTTTTTGTGTGTATCATATTTTTATTGTTTTTATTACATTTTTTTTTTAATTTATAAAACCACACACATCATAAACTTTTTTTTTTTTTTGTACTATAAATTATAAAATATAACACCACATTAATAAAATAATCATATAATCATTATAATCATTATAATCATTATAATATAATAATAAAATAATAAACATCATCCATATTATACATTATAATGGAAAGTTTAAAGAATTTATTTAAAAAGAAAAAAGAAAATGATACTATTAGAATTATATATGCAAATGACCAGGATCGAAATAAAGAGTTTCCTAGCAATCGAATTAGTAACACAAAGTACACAGTTATAACATTTATACCTAAAAACCTAATGGAACAATTTGGTAGGGCCATGAACATTTATTTTTTAATGATTGGTGTATTGCAACTATTTCCAAGCATTACACCAGTTGACCCAATATCAACCTGGGGAGCATTATTATTTATATTTACAGTTTCAGCTATTAAAGAAGCATTTGACGATTACAATAGAGGTAGAAGAGATAAAAAAGCAAATGAAAGAAAGTACACTATTTTCAGAAATGGCACAAAGCAAGATATTCAATCACAATACATCATGGTTGGTGATATCATTTATTTAAAAGAAAATGAAGAAATTCCATGTGATTTAATGGTATTATCAAGCTCTGATAAAGAAAAAAACTCATTATATGTTCAAGTAGGTATCCATAACTTTTTTATGATTTCATAATATTTATAACAATTTATTAATTTTATAATTTTATTTTTTTAGACTTCAAATTTAGATGGTGAAACAGATTTAAAGATCAAATATTCAGTCAAAGAAACATCACAATTATCAATAAATGAATTATTAAATTTTAAAGGTATTTTAGAATGTCCACCTCCAAATGCAGAAATTTATAGATTTGACTCACGTTTATCTTTAAAGGCCAATAGAAAGGTTAATACATATTCACACTCTGATTGGTTAACTGTAGATAGTAACAATTTAATTTTACAAGCAACTCATTTAAAAAACACAGATTACGTATATGGTTTAGTAGTTTATACAGGTAATGAAACTAAATTGGGCAAAAACAAGATGGAAGTACCCACCAAATGGACCAAATTAGACAAAGAAATCAACAAAATAACAATTTTCATTTTTTGTTTACAATTAACATTGGTATTAATTTTCGGTATCATCGGGGATGCACTCAGAGTATCATATGGGCCAAAGGAGTGGTATTTAATGTATGATGATTCTATGGTCGGTAAAACTATTATCATCCCATTAAGATTTTTACTCTTAAATAGTATGATGATTCCAATCTCTTTGAAGGTTACTATCGATGTTATAAAGTATGCCTATGCCTTGTTTATCAACTGGGATTTAAAGATGTACAACGCCGATACTTCAAGTGCTGCCACAGCAAATTCCACCGCTCTTAGTGAAGATTTAGGTCAAATTGAATATATTTTTACTGATAAAACTGGTACTTTAACTGAAAATATAATGTTATTTTCAAATTGCTCAATCAATGGTAAAATATATCATAGAAATCGGGAACAAGAAGAATTTTCAAATCTTATTGATTATAATAATGGTGATCATTCAAATAATAGCAGCGTTGGTAGTGATTTATCATCATCACCATCTTCATCACCAACTTCCTCAACTCTAAACTTAAAACAATTAGATAGTAAACAACAACAACAACAACTACTACAAAAACAAAAGAAACAAAAAGATCAGCCACAACAACATCAACAACAAAATGAAGAATATGTTGAGTTAAAGAAAGCAATCAAACAAAATGATCAAGATGTAGTTGAATTCTTTAGATGTTTATCCTTATGTCACTCAATTGTACCTATGATTACTCAAGATAATGCCACTGGCCAAGATACTATTCAATACAAATCCTCATCCCCAGACGAAGAGGCTTTAGTTAATGCCTCAAGTATAATTGGTGCCAAGTTTATAAATAGAACACCAGATAAATTAGAGACCGAAATTAATGGTACTAAAGAAACCTATGAAATATTACATACCTTTGAATTTAGTTCAGATAGAAAACGTATGAGCGTTGTTGTTCGTGACCCAGTTACTCAAATCATTAAAATTATTTGTAAAGGTGCTGACGAAATTATATTTAAATTATTAAACAAAAATTATTATCAACAACAGCAACAACCAAATAGTAATGACTTAGCTACCTCAACATCCATTTCACAATCAATTTTATTATCATCAGCTGATTTATTACAGTTATACTCAAATCAAATTGATTTATTCGCAAGTAAAGGTTTAAGAACACTTTGTTTAGGCGAAAAAATTATTCAAAAAGAAGATTATGAAAGATGGTATCAAAACCATTACCAAAAGGCCATTACAGCTATTGAAAATAGATCAGCATTATTGGGTGAAGCCTACCAATTATTAGAAAGAGATTTCGATTTACTTGGTATTACAGCAATTGAGGATAAACTCCAAGAAAATGTACCACAAACAATTCAATGTTTAAGACAAGCTCAAATAAAGATTTGGATGCTTACAGGTGATAAATATAGTACAGCCATTCAAATTGCAAATTCATGTAATTTAGTAACTAAAGGTAGTAAACTTTTCACTATAGGTAAATCAATGGATGATAATAGTAACTGTGGGGTAGCATCAGATATTACAAAATTAGATGTTCAAATGTCAGTAGAGGCACTTTATAAATACATTTCATCATTATCTCAGCCACAACAGCAACAAAGTTCAATCATTGTTGAAGGTCATGTGTTATCAATTGTATTACTTTTCTGTGAAAATAATTTCCTTAAACTATCTCAATTGGTCGGTTCTTTAATTTGTTGTAGAGTTACTCCAAGCCAAAAGGCTCAAGTTGTTAAAATGATTAAAAATACAGGTAGAATTACACTAGCAATTGGTGATGGTGGTAATGATGTATCAATGATTCAAGAAGCTAATATCGGTATTGGTATCAGTGGTAGAGAAGGTCTCCAAGCATCCCGTGCTGCAGATTATAGCATTGCCAGATTTAAATATCTTCAAGAACTTATTTTAATCCATGGTCGTTACTCTTATTTACGTACATCATTTGTAGCAGGTTATAGTTTTTATAAATCAATGTTTATTTGCTTCATTCAAATTCTCTATCAATTATTCTCTGGGTTTGCCGGTTCTACTTTCTTTAATTCGTTCTCTTTGACCTCTTATAATATTTTATTCACCGGTCTACCAGTTATCGGTTTCATCTTTGATAAAGATTTACCAGAAGCAATCATCCGTCGAAATCCTCACCTCTATAATATTGGTCAAGATAGCAAAGCATTCAATGCCCGTGTAATCATTCAATGGATGTCCAGAGCAATTTTCCAAGCAATCTTTGTTTTCAGTTTCACAATTGGTCCATATGCATTCGGTACATCGGGTTCAACTATCGACTATGATTCATTTAGTATGATTGCATTCACTTCAATTATTTTCATCCAAGCTCTTACTTTATTCTTTGAATCCCATACCATCACCTGGATCAACCAATTTTTAATTTGGGGCACTATCCCAATTTATTTTGTTTGTGTTTTCATCTTAAATTCAATGTCAAATTTAGATATGTACACTGTAATGACTCATCTCTTTGATAGCGGCTCAGTCTGGTTCTCTATGATTCTAATGATATTTGTCTCTATTGCACCAATCATTACAATTCAATATCTCTACCAATCATATAAACCAAATGTTGTCGAAAAAATTCATCAAGTTAGATTATATTTATCTTCAAAACCAGATGATAGTAGCAAACTAGTAACAAATAACAGCAAGGTTGATAATGAAAATAATATTTTAAATTATAACTCAAATAATAATATTTACCAACGTCATAATAACCAACAACAGCCACAACAACAAAAACAACTTAATATTGCAGTTTCCTTTAAACATCAATTCGAAAAGAAAAAGCCACTCTTTAGATCAAACTCAAATCAATTTGATAGCAACAAGATTACAGTAGATGTAGTTGTATGTTCAAAAGAAATGGAAGAATATGAAAATAAACAAATCATTGAAAATAATATGAAATCATCAAATCAACAAGATAAATTTAATGTTTATGATGATTCTATATCAATTCCAATAAATAATGATGAAAACGATAACGAAAATGAAAATGAATATAAACCACTTCTTAGTTAGAAGATGGTAATATTTTATTTCATTTTAAATAAAAAATAAATTTAAAAATTTAAAACATCTAAAAGGAGTATTTATAAAATTTCTTTTTATATTTTTTTTTAATAATTTTCAATTTGAAAATAGTTTTTCAATGTGATTATTTATTTTACAATTTTAAAATGGTGATAAACCAAAATAACTGGAATCGGTTTCTACATCCCAACTTGGTGAAAAGAATCCTGCTGAAATAATACCACCAACACCTTTCCAACCATATTCATTGCCAACTATAATAAAATCTGGAGCTAAAACACCACTTCTTTGAGGGACAGCATGTAATGCTTTATTAAAACCTATGTCATCTACACCAGCAACTACAAGTAATAAACCTTGACCACATTGGTTTGGTGCTATAAATGATACACCAATACCGTTTGATGAATAGATTGGTGATGGACCAATTGAGAAAGAATTATCCTCATTAAACATTACTGGTAATTGTGATTGATATTTACTGGCTACTAAATTTTGGAATGTATTACCTATTAAAATATAATTATCATTTGAAGAGCATTGACTTGGGGGTATAAAATCTACATCTGCAATAATTTTTGGTGAACCACGACCATATGTATTATAGAAATTTGAGATATAAACTGATGCCCATTCAAATAATTGTTGGGTACTTGATGAGGTTGTATTTGTTCCATAAATAATTGTAAATTTCTTTTCAAATATTTGTCGTATTGGGCCATAGGTTAATGGTGATTTTTCGTATTGGATCCAGGTTTGGTCGGTGGTTACATTCCAATCTGGTAACCATTTATCTAATCTAGCGTAATGATTTGAAGGAAGAAATTGGGTTTCAAATTTTTGGTTATCAATAACCATTTGAACTGGTAAACCTTCTGGACGAACTGGTGTTTCTTGAATACCAAATCTACGAACATTTTGTGTGCTAACTACCCAAACCAACTGTCCATTAGAGTTTGTAGTTTGCACAATCTGGATTTTAGCACTACGTGAGGGGTTTAAAGTTTGAAGTATTTGAATATTTGCACGAGAACCTGATGAGGCTGGATTATGGGTAGTAATTGTTATAACTTTGGGTATTGATGGATGACTATATCTATAGGTGTTTGAAATTTGGTTATAATAATTTAACATGTATTGATCATTTAAAATTCCATCAAACCAATGATTTTCATTTGGGACCTCGCTAATAATTACTGCATTTTCATTTTGACTTTGCTCTGCTACCATACGTGCAATTCTTCTTGAGTGCCATGGATTAACATTTGAATCGTTTTGGCCATACCTAACCATCAATGGTAATCCCACCAAATTCGAAGTATAAAGGTCATTATCATTCTCTGCTATTGATGCCATTAAAATGCCATGCAAGGAAGGGTCGATATAAGAAAAACCTGGTCGAGTATTATAAAATACATAAAATTGTAATTTTACAAAACCTGCTGCACATGCTGCACCTATAGCTAAATCACCAAATCTAGAAATTAAACTAACACAACCATGACCACCCATACTATGTCCTACAAACAATATTTTTTCAGAGTCTACTTGATACTGCGATTTAAGTGAAGAAGGTACACCTGGTAAATTATTTGACAAGTATTGAATTGAATTTATAACATTTAATCTAGATGATGACTCCCCTATAGAATATAAAGTATTAGTATTTGAATAAAAAAACAATCTTTTAATAAATGAAATAATTACAGTCATATCCCCAAGATCTACGGCCAGTTGGATATATAATCCAAAGATTTTCTTGAGCTGGAATTGCATTCATCCAAAATGGTGAAGAAGCTTCGACACCGGCACCATGAGTTGCAAGCATTACACCACATAAAGTACCATTGCTTTCACTACAAGATGTTGTTGGTGGAGTTGCAATTGCATATTGGACAGTTGAGTCAAAATCTAAAAAGGTATATAAAAACGGATTACCCCAGTTTGTACAATTAAATGTTATATTTGTTGTTATTAAAACTTGTTCACCAGATTCTATATTTAAAACTGCTTGAAATGGACAACTGAAAGTACTTGCTTCTTGAGATAAAGATAATGCAATTGGTAGAGATATTTTTTGACCTGGTAATACATTTAAATTTGATTCACGCAAAAAATTTGCTTTTATCCAAGGCTGGTCCATTGGGACAGAAACACCTATAGATTGAATTGTTGTTAAGCCACTATTAATTACTGAAATTGAAGAATATGGACTAACTAATTGACCGTTAACTAAATCTGGCACTAGATTTTCAGATTGTAAAATTGTAATTTGATCGGTAACTTGTTGAAGTGAACATGAAAACTGGGAATTTGGAGATTGATTTAAACGTACACTACTGCTCATTCTTACAAATAAATTATAAGTTGTAGATTGTTCCAGCTGAACTACTTGTTGACCAACTCCATATCCATAATAGTCCCCTGAAAACTCTTGAATTTGGCCCTTATTATTTCCATTTTGAATGAAAAAAGTTCTTGTACCAGTACATGATATTAAAAAAGTGCCACTGGTATCAACATTGAAGCTACCAACTGCCCATCCATACCACAACCATATTGACCAACCCCAAACTGATTGTAAAAAGCTCCAATCAACATACTCACTCCAATCGACTGATAAACTGCCACTAGTTTCACTAGATGCTTTATTCCAACCTACAACACCATTGGTACCTAATTCTGATGGATATTTAGTATTATCCCCAACCAATATATTAAATATACCTCCATAAGCCTCTAATGAGTCAAGACCTTCTTCTCTTTCACCGATTGGAAATGGTCCGATAATATTAAAATTATTTGGTAAACTATAAATAACTTTTTTAAAAATAAAATAAATAAATTTAATCAATATATTATTTATAATTGTATTAATTAATATTTTGAAACCTACAATTTATTAAATATAAAATAATATATATAATTAATAATATTTTCATTTTTATAATTTACATTTATAAAACACTTTTAAATCAAAAATAAAAAAATTTTAAAAAAATTAAAAAAAATTAATTAAAAAAAAATATTTTTTTTTAACTTTTCAGTTTTTTAACCCAAACCACATAAATGGAAATCATATATATCATTTTTCAGTAATCTTTCAACAATCTATTTTTTTTTATATTTATTACTTTATAAGTTTATTTTATTTGTTTATTTAATTTTTAAAATTTTTTAAGATTGATTTAGCAACAACTTGAAGTTGAATATTTGTTGTTCCTTCATAAATTTGGCCAACTTTAGAATCTCTGAAAAACTTCTCAGCTGGGAATTCTTTGGTGAAACCAACACCACCCAACATTGAAATACAAGCAGAAGCAGTCTTTTCAGCAACACGTGATGCATAAAGTTTTGCCATTGAAGCTTGGTGAACGAATGGTAAACCAGCTTCTTGCATACGAGCGGCATTATAAGTTAAAAGTTTAGCAGCTTCGATATCGATGGCTAAATCAGCATATGTGAATTGCATACCTTGGAACTCAGCAATTGGTTTACCAAATTGTTTACGCTCCATTAAATATGGGATAGTTGATTCAAAAACACCTTCAGCTAAACCTAACATTTGAGCAGCAATACCAATACGACCCTCATTTAAACCTTCGATAGCAATTTTATAACCTTTACCTAATTGACCTAAAATACTATCACTTGAAACAACACAATTATCAAGGATAACTTCACAAGTTGATGAAGCTCTAATACCTAATTTATCTTCTTTTTTACCAATTTTAAGACCTGGATTGCTTGACTCTACAATGAATGCAGTGATGCCTTTGTAACCTTGTGATGGGTCAACATTTGCCATAACAATGAAAACACCAGCTTCTTTAGCATTTGTAATCCATTGTTTTGTGCCATTGAGTACAAAAGTACCGTCAGGTTGTTTGGTAGCTCTTGTGGCTAATGAGAATGCATCACTACCACTTCCACTTTCTGATAAACAGAATGAACCAACTGTGTTTTTAGCTAATAAACTTAAATATTTTTTCTTTTGCTCTTCATTACCATAACGATTGATGCAATTGTTTACTAATGTATTTTGAACATCGACGATGACACTGATAGATGGATCTACTTTAGCCAACTCTTCGATTGCGATAATTGATGACATAAAATTCATACCTGCACCACCATATTGTTCTGGGATTTCGATACCCATTAAATCCATTTCGAATAAATTCTTTAATATATTCATATCAAGCATTGACTTTTCATCCATTTCTTTAACTAAAGGTAAAATTCTTTCGTTTGCAAAACTTGAAACTTGATTTTTTAACATTTCTTCATTTTCTGTTAATGTAGTAATTGGTAAAATCTTTTTTAATTTAAAAAAAAAAGGTATAAAAAATATAAAAAATTCTATATTAATAAAAATTTTCTTTTTTTCTCTCTTTTTTTTTTTTTGTTTAAAAAATTAAACAAATTTAATTTAATATTACACCTGAAGATGATGTTGAAAATGATTTATTTGATAATCTATTATTTAATTTTAAACAATTATTTAAATTTCTTGAATTAACAATTCTTAAATTTCTAAACATTTTATTTTAATAGTGTGAAATATATATTAAAGAAAAAAATAAATGATAATTATTAATAGTGTGTTCAAATAAATAAATGAAAAAAAAAAAATTTTAAATTTCAGAAAAAAAAAAAAAATAAATTTATTTATAAAAAAATAAATTTAAAATATAAAAAAATAAAAAAATGACTTTTTTAAAAATTTTTTTTTTATATTTCGTTTTCATAAAAAAGCATCATTTTATCACCATTGTTATTAAAATAATAATCAGTCAATCATATAATCATATAAAGTCATATATAGTCATTCCATAATATAATAAAATATATTTAATATTTTTTAAATTATAATAATACAATATATTAAAGAAATGGCACCACGATATAAAATAACATATGAATATGTTGGAAAATATTTTACAGGTTGGCAAAGATTAACTTATGATATCAATCCTTTACCAGTTCAAAATGTTTTAGAAAATTCATTAAAACATATATGTAATAAAGAAATCAAGGTATTTGGTAGTAGTAGAACTGATTCTGGTGTTAGTGCATTGGGAAACACCTCGCATTTCGATATTGACCAGCGTACCTCGAGAAAGGGTAAACCATTACCACTATTAACAACTGATGAATTAACAATGGCAATAAATTATAATGTTGGTGAACAATATTTAGATAGAGTTAGAATTATTAAAACTGAAATTGTAGATGATAATTTTCATTCAAGATTTCATGCAACTTCAAGAACCTATTTATATAAAATCTTAGCAAACTGTGGTAAAAAGCAAACACCTTTAGAATTATTAGATAGAGTTTTAGAAATTAGCTTTATTTTAGATGTAAATAAAATGAAAGAAGCTGCCGAAATATTAGTTGGGAGACACGATTTCTCGAGTTTTAGAAGTAAAGATTGCACTAAAAATCCAGTTAGAACTATAGAGTATATTAAAATCATTGAATTACCAACACCAGAAATCATTCGATACCATCCAGATTTCATAAACTGTTCAAAAGAAATTAATAATAACGTCAATCATGGTTTACAGTATATCGGTATTGAAATTAAAGCACAATCATTCCTGCATAATCAAGTTAGAATCATGTCTTCTGCTCTTATTGAGGTTGGTAAAGGAACCATTACAAAAGATCAATTAAAAGAAATTTTAGAAAAAAAGGATAGATTAGCAGCTCCATCAACTATTGCATCCGAACCTTTAACACTTATAAAAGTTTCATATGACCATAAAAAAAATATAGAAAATAATATAGATAATAATAATAATATAGATAATAATAGTATTTCCAATCGCATAATTAAATTTCTAAAAAAAATATTTTAAAAGAAAAGAAAACAAGATAATTATAAACTAAAATGAAAAAAATGATTCGTTTTATAACAAAATTTTAAGTTTTTGTGATATATATATTTGTACATTTTTGTATCCAATCACTTAAAATTGTTATGAAATGAATCAAAGAAGAAATTATACCCAAACTAATACCATTTTTCCGAAAAAATAAAATAAAGTAAAAGTTAAAATATAAATATACATGTATTGATTATTAAATTAATCAAGATTATCCTTTATTAAATTTCTTTTTAATTTTATCAGTTAAACCAGCTTGTTTTTTAGGTGAGTTGTTTGAACTGTTTTGGTGATTAACTCCATTGAAATTTCTGTTGTTTATATCACCATTTATATTGGTATTATTATCATCATTTGTTGAGATGGTTGCTGGTAGCATTGGTTGTAATTGTAAATTTGGTGGCGCTACAGGGCATTCTTCCAAAGCTTTTAAAAACAATCTTCTAGCTTTTTCTTTTTTAATAATAGCTTTCCAATCATCCTTATGAACATTTCTGCATTGGTCAATACTAAAAAGACCTTCGTGATTGAGTGATTCTTTCAAATATTGAATTATTGAATATTCTAATTTGAATGTATTTGTAAAGGAATCAATCCATTTATCCCTATCGAGAATTTCATATTGTGAGGGATGTTGAATTATAGGACTAGTTAAAGTTGGTGTTGTAATTGGTGATGCTGAAGATGACGGGGGTGATAGTACTAATGTTGGTGATCTAGGTGAATATGGTTGTGGTTTTTGTTGTGGTTGTTGAGATTGGGTAGAGGTTGAGGAGGATGTTGTTGTTGAGGATGATGGTGTTGGTAATGTGGGAGTATTCAAGCCATTTATCATTAAAGATACATCAGTGGTCTGTTGCTGAAGCTGTTGAATTTGTTGTTGAAGTTGTTGAATTTGTAGCTGATGCATCCTAAAATCTTTAGGTGATACACTATTAAAATTATTAAAATTGATATTAAATTGGTTATTTAATTGATTATAATTATTTATTGAATTTAAGATATTATTAATATTATTAAAATTATTACCATTCATATTATTATTATTATTGAAATTTATATTATTAATATTAATTGTATTTGTATTATAATAGTTGGCATTAGTACTATAATTATTTACAAAATTATTGTTATAATTATTCATACTATTAATATTATTCATATTACTATTACTATTATTTAAACTATTACTATTCATATTCATATTCATATTATTATTATTATTATTATTATTATTCATATTATTATTATTATTATTCATATTATTATTATTATTATTTGTGGTTGTAGTAGTGGTTGTAGTGGTGGTAGTGGTTGTGGTTGTGGTAGTGGTTGTTGTTGATGATTTTGGAGTTTTACTTTTATTTGATATTTTACTTTCTACAATGAATGGTTCGTTATAATCTAAATCATTATATAGATTCTTTAAGAAAGGATAGGATGATCTATCCCATTCATCCAGAATTACAAAATAAAACAAAGAAAACATATCGAATGAAATTTTATCAAAAATTACTGTATTGAATCTTTCTAGATATGATAGAATTTGATCATTCGGTATACCAATCATATTTCCAAACTTGCAAAACTTGTCAAAATTTATAAATGTTTCATCTTCATAACTTTCCAAACCACTGGCACTTGAAATTCTGCTACTTCTGTTGTTTTGATTACTAGTTGTATAAATAATTTTACCACCACCAGCTATAATTTCAAACATCACTTTGCAATGCTGATAAAGAAACTTTGTAGTTTGCCCACACTCTCTAGATGAAAAGAATGCTATTAAAAGAAAGAACTCTTCAAAACCTATGAAACCCATATCATCCTTGTCTAATGAATCGAAAAGATTTAAAATTTGATAATTTGTTAAATCTGTTAAATAACGTAGTAGTACAACAAACTGTGCTTCTCTTATAATATAGTCGGTTGAAGCTGTGTTATTTTCATACCATTGTTTTGACGAACTAAATCCTGATTCTGTATATAATTTTTCAAATAAGGTTCTTTTCTTTGTTTTTGGTGATTTTATATTATTATTTGGTGTATTATTGTTATTATTACTATTGTTCATATTATTATTAGTAGCACTATTGTTATTATTATTAATATTATTACTGCCACTATTTAAACCATTATTGCTACTGTTATTATTAGAATTGGTGTTATTTGTTGAATTTACAATTGCTGATGAAGAAGATGTATTTAATTTATTACTGGAACTACTATCGGATGAGCCATTGAGTTGTGGCTGTGGCTGTTGCTGTTGTTGTTGCTGCTGCTGTTGCTGTTGTTGTTGTTGATGTTGATGTTTATTTTTTAAACTACTACTACTACTTGTTCTATTTAATAATAATGATGAAGCTGTTCTTAAAATACTATGACCATGTTCTTTTGGCTCCTTTCCACTATTACTGTTATTTGATGATGTTAATGGTGAGGTAACACCACTACGTGGTGATAAAAAGTTTGTTGGTGATGTAATATTACTATTATTACTATGACTAATATTTAATGTATTGTTATTATTTGTATTATTAATATTATTGGTATTGTTGATGTTATTATTGTTATTATTAGTACTGTGAGTATCTTTGATGTTATTATTGTTATTATTATTATTAGCACTGTGAGTATCTTTGATCTCTTTAATTTCTTTTATACTATTGGTACTACTATTAAATTCATCATTTAAATTAAATTCAGCTATCGGGTTACTATTTAAATGTGATGATGATAGTGGTGAAAATGTAATTGGTGAACATGATGCCAAGATTGATGAATTGGGTGATGATGAATATGACGATACTGGTACAACCTTTGATGTCAATACAACAGGTATACCACCACCCGTAGCTGTTATATTTGTTTGGTGATTATATAATGGGGACTCTTGTGGTTGAGTATCATTAGATTGACATACACTACTAAATGATGATGGTGATGTTGTTAATGTATTATTTGGTGCTACTTTTTCGTCCTCGTTATAATTTGCTCCTAAAATGATTAATTTTAGAAATTCAATATTTATTTTCATTTCTTTATTATATTTAATTGTATTATTGAAAGTGTTTTTTATTTTTAGTGGATCTTTATTTTAAATTTTTACAATTGAATACATAATTAGAAATGATATTTAAATAATGAATAATATTTTAAAAGAAGGGGTTTTTTTTGTGTGTTTTTTTTTTTATTTGTTTTTTTTTTTTTTTCCTTATATTAAAATTTTAATTTTCTATATATATATAATAAATAAATATTTAAATAAATAACAACAAATTTTAACTTTTATTTTTATAATACACTATTTACAACATAAACCCATATATAAGATATATTAACAACACCAAAAAAAAAAAAAAAAAAAAAATATTTTATTTTAATAAAAAAAAAAAAAAAAAAAATATTTTATTTTAATTTTAAAAATAAAAAAAATAAAAAATAAAAAATTTTAAAAAAAATAAAAAAAAATTAATTTAAAAAAATTATAATAAAAAAAAATAAAAAAAAATAAAAAAGGAAAGATATAAAATTTTAAAATAGATTGATCATTTGAAAATATCTTTTAATTAATAATTATTTAAAGAATAGTTGTGATTTAAATTTATTCATATTTGTTTAAATTCAACTCCAAAGCCTCTAGCTGTGAAATATTATTAAATGGAAATCCCATATGGGCAAATTGCACTTTTGAATTTGGTCAAACTCCACACATTATTTCATTCCATGTCCCAAAAGATATATATTCTTTAAACTAATCAAATATTTTATTTATTTAATGTTTTATTATAATGTTTTTAAAGAAAATATTCTAAAATATTGATATTTGGTAATGATTTGGTGCTATTCTTCTTTTGAATTTACTATACCCTTCGTTGGTGTTGGTGATTGTTTGTGGTTGTTTATCGTATTTATCCTTGATGTTTCTTAAACCTTTTATTACATAAGCAAATTCAAATTTGATGAAATACTAAGGATATAGCATTTCTTTTAGCAAAACTACTAGTAGTTAAATCAGGGTCTATTGCTTTATAGTTCCATTGGAAGTGGGTTTGTGAAATCTAGTGTTGTTGTGATCCATATTTATTTGGCCATCTGATTTGACACCTGCTGGTATTTTAAATGTTATATACTTGATATTCCTTCTCCATCTTGTAATGCCGAGTGACCAATTATTATTTGTATTTGAAAAAATCTCTAACCCATTAGTTCAATACAAAAAACCATCAATTTGTGATGATGAATTGTGCTTCAACTATTTCTTCAATGATTGGTTTAATTATTACTTCAATTATTTCAACTATCATTTTCTTTTAAATGGTTAAAAATCAATCACAATAATTGAAAAATATGAAAAAATAATTATCAATATCCAATAGATCAGCTCAATAAAAACCAATTTATTTATTTAAAAAGATTTTTTTTTTTTTTTTTTTTTTCTCTTGCAAATCTGAAAAAAATTTGTAAATTGTGTTTCTGTTAAAAAAATTGTAAAAAATTCCAAACCAAAACTATTTTATAATAATTGAATCGATTATTTTTTAAAAAAAAAAATTCATATAATTCCCAAAATATCTTTAATTATATTTTTTAAATTTTTTTTTTTTTTTTTTAAATTATTGATTAGTTATAACTGACAGTTTTTTTTTTATATTTTTTTTTATATTTTTTTTTTTTTATATTTTTATTTTCATCTACAAAGAAAAAAAAGAATGAGATTTATTTCATTATTAATTGTATTCTTTTTATTAAAATCAGCTATTGTTTTAGCTGATTATCAATATGCCGTTTGCAATATTGTTCCAATCGACAAAACAGCTAAAACAATCAGTGGTTCTATTCAAATTTATAAAGATGTCCAATCTGTAAGTAATACACAGAAGTTTAGTTTATTTATTTATAAAATTGTACTAATATTTTTTTAATTTAGACTTCTTTGACTTTCGATTATAATATTAAAGCAGAAAATGGTCTCGAAGATGGTAATTTATGGTAACAATATTCAAACCTATGGCTATCCATCAACAGACTTAGGTGGTGTATTTAACCCAGGAAATGCTGCAGGACCCTGTCCAGACTCTCAAAGCCCAAATGTTGGTAGTTTATATGATATTTTTATTTTTGAAGGTGTTTATGAATCCTCAAGATCATATCAACTACCTCTTTTAAGTGGTCAAAATTCAATTATTGGTAGAGCTATTTCTTTCTATGACGTTTCAGTCTGTAAAGAATCACCACCAGCCTTAAAGGCTGTTAACGGAGTACCAACCGTTATCGCTACTTGTGTCATTGGTTTCGGAAATGATACCACAAAACCAGATGGATTAACCGGTTCAAATACTGCCACCTCCCCAGAATTAAACTTACATGCTATTGCTGTTTTGACAGCAACTTCAAATGCCGCTGCCACTATTACTGGTCAAGTTACTTTTGTAAATGTAGGAAGTGGTGTTCAAGTCTCTTCAAAAATTATTGGTTTAGGAAAAGAAGCCCATGGTTTCCACATTCATTCTTTTGGACAACTCTCAGATAATGGTTCTGCTCTTGGTGGTCATTGGGCAACTACTGGTCAAACCCATTCATTACCATCCACTCTTCAAAATAGTGCTACTCGTCATTATGGTGATTTAGGTAATATCTGTTCTTTTGATTCAGAATTCAAAAATGCCTATTACAACTTTACCACCAACTATATTAGTATCAACGGTGTTTACGGTCGTGGTTTTGCTGTTCACGCCACACGTGATTTAGGTGACTCTAATGTCGGTGGTGCTCGTATTGCTCAAGGTGTTATTGCAGTTGCTAACCCAAGTGTCACTCTTAATCTCAATACCCCACCAACCACAGATTTTTCATTTGATAATATTTGTGCTAATGGTGCCGTCGATGGCCAAACAAAGAACTCCACCTCAAGTGGCTCAGAAAGTGGCAGTGGTTCAGAAAGTGGCAGTGATAGCGACAATGGTTCATCAAAAATAATCTCATCATTATTTATTTTAGGTTTATTCTCATCATTATTTGTTTTATTATTATAATTAATCATTAAAATAAACCTTTTTTTTATTTTCTTAATTTGTGCTATTAAATAATTAATTTAATTAAATATTGATAGCAGGAATAAAAAAGCAAATTATTTATTATCTTTTTATTTAATTTTATTAATTTGATTTAAAAACATTATGAATCCAACATTGATTATAATATTTATATTGTCACCATTCTTTTCTTGTTTTATTAAATTTGCAAAGGTTAGATAAATTGCACTTAAACCTGATACTGTTATCTTGCTAAAGAGTTTACTTTTTTAATATTATGACCGCTTATTGTGTCCATCTATATATTTTTCTATTATTTCTATTTGGCGTGGGGAAATACATCCACAATTATATTATTTCCTTTAATTTCTTGAATAACTCTATTACTATTTTCTATCATTTTTTTATTTATATTATTAATTTAAGTATTTTACTGCTGCACAAAATAATTATTAATTTTTTAAATTGTTAAATTATAAATAAATTAACAATTTATAAATCATTAATAATAAAAACAAATAAAAAAAATATTCTCTTTGATTAAAAAAAATACACTATCAATAATATATAGTAAAAAATGCCTAATCTCTTTTTAATATAAAAAAAATATAATGGTAATGTAATTTATTATTATAACTTTAATTATAGTGATGAGCCTTCCAATATAAATTAAAACTTTTTTTAAATCAACCACACATTTTTTCCATTTTTAAAAACACTGTTTATTTTTTTTATAATAAAATTTTAAAAAACAAAAAAAAGCCTTGTGTTTGAAATCTCCATTTCTTTTTGTATTTGAATTTATTATTTTTTAATTTTTTTTTAAATTTCTTTTTTTTTAATTTACTTTTTTCTTTTAGAGCATTTATCATTTTTTTTTTTAATTTACTTTTTTTTTTAATAGAATTTCGAAAGGATTTTTTTTTCTTTATTATTTTATACACATACATTTTTATTTTATATCATAATATTTCGCACATTTAAATAATTTAAATATTATATTATAAAAATTATTGCTATTATATTTATAAAATAATCTACAACCCTCTTTAAAGACAACAATAATACCCAAATTAAATCAATTGAAAGAGAAATTTAAAGAAAAGCCAGAAATACCCAAAAATTCTGATATCGATTTTATTGAAAGTACAAAGAATGAAATTTTAATTGATATAGAAAAGATAATTGAAAACTATTCAAAAGAAATTGAAAAGATAAAAAATGATATTATGAATCAAATAGAAAAATATAATGAAGCAGTCAAAAACATAAGTAATGGTGAAAATCCATCAGTAATGCCAGTGGAATATGAAAATAATACACAACAAAATAATATATCAGAAGATAATAAATTATAAAAAATATTCTTTTTTTTATTTAGATAATAAACTTTTTAAACTTTGGTAGAATGATAATTTTATTTAATTTTCTTCCTTGTCACGATCTGGATCTTCTGGGTGAGTCATTTTTTCATCAACAATTTTAACGTTAAAGTTCTCTTCGATATCTTCTTCATCCTCATCATCTGGTAACAAAATATACAAAAGATATTGAGATAAAGTACCATTTTTTCCCAACTTTGCATCTTTGAAATAATTATCAACTATATTTGAATATTTTTCCAATGTGATCTTTACTATTTCTCCCATTTTGTTTTTACAATCTTCAGTACAGCCCTTTTCAATATCGGGGAAAATTTCCAGGTCACGACAAAAATCTTCTAAATATTTCAATTGAAATTTTTTTTTGCAGTCTTCAATATTATATTTCTTATGAGGACACATTTTATGGCAGTATGTAAAAAACAAAAGTGTAATAAAATATATTTAAAAATCCTCTTAACAATATTTATGTATATTAATAAAAAAAAAAAAAAAATTTAAAAAAAAATTTAAAAAAAAATTTAAAAAAAAAAAAAAAAGGGGGAAACCACCACACATTACTATATATATTAATTGATTATGATTTAACTGTTTTTTTATTGATTTTTAAACACCTTTTAAATTAAAAACTTTTTTTTTTGTTTTTAAAACTTAGAAAAATAAAAAAAAAACTAAATATAATACACGTTTCACTAAAAGTGGTATTCAATTTAGATCCCAAGGAGGTGGTATTTTACATTACACATACTCTGGTTTCAGTGAGAAATTCAAAGTTGATGAAAATGAAATTAAAAAAATATAATTAATTGGATCATTTTGATCAACTTTCAAGTTATATAAAACAAATAAATAAAAAAAGAAAAAATATTTATAAAAATGAATAATAAAAAAGTAGATGTATATTGCTACGACTGCACTGACTGGAAATTATGATCAAAATATTGCTTATCATTAAATAAAACTGTCTCAGATTATACGTCCTCTGTTACCTTTACCTTTGAAGATAGTGACAATAGTGATAATAGTAATTATGATAATAGTGATCATGAATAAATAAAAAATACATCTCCTATATAGGAGTGATATGTTTGATGTAAAAAAAAGAATTTTAATTTTTTTTATTTTGATATTATTTTTGTTTAAAAAATAATTTTTTTGGAGGTGCTTTGAAACCACTTAATGCAACTATTACATTATTTTTTAAATTTATGAACTTTGTTCTTATCAAATTTTCAGGATATTCATCTGTGTAATATTCTTCTGTATATAACTCCATTGTTTCCAATTCTTTCTCTCTTTCTCTTATTTTTTGTATGGTGTTGTTGATGGATGTTTTGTTTGGTACTGTTGGGTGGATACGGGTATTTCTAAGATCATTAAAATGAAACATTGTCTCCAAATCAACATTATTTAGTTGTTTTGCCTGTTCGTAAGCAAAATCATCATCCCTGTAATTACTGCTGAAATAATCCCAATTTGAATCATTATATTTATTTTTTACTTTGTTCATAAGTTGATCATCTTTATCATTCATAATTGTGGGCCAATTATACTCGAAATCTTCTTGATAATCCGTCCATTGATCATTAACTTTTTCTTTGTTTCTGTTGAAAGCATTTTGTTTAAAATATTCTTTTCTTGCCATATCCAAATACTCTTTCTTCTGTTGATCGAGATCCTTCTTCCAAATTCCATCAAGTTGGGGCATTAAAACATATCTAAGGTATGCTTTTGCAAGGTCTGATATATATGCAAAAATTGATAATTCTGAATTTGTATTTGCAATACTTGATGAAATTGAATCTTTGATTTCTTTTAATTCTTCACGAATTTTTATATTATCAATTTCCAAATTTTCATATTTACTTTGCATTTCATTATATTTACTTTGCATTTCATCATATTTGATTTGAAGTTCATTATATTTACTTTGAAGTTCATAATATTTATTTTGAAGTTCATTATTTTTGTTTTGAAGATCTTTATGTTCTTTGTCAGCTTCTTCTTTTTGTTTCTTTAACTCTTCAATCTCTTTATTCCTTACTGAAATTTCTTGCTCTTGTTTTATGTGATTGTTATAAAATTGAAGTGCTGCATCCATAAACGCATGTTTAATTTCTTTGGTTTTTTCATTTAATTCTTTCTTTAATATTTGAATTTCTTCTTCTCTTTCTTTTAACTTTTCATCCAATGTTTGAATTTTTTCTTTATCTTTCTTTAATGCTTGTTCATTCTTCTCTATTTCTCTTTTTTTTTCTTTTAACTCCTCTTCTTTTTTCATCAACTCTTCTTTTGTTTCTATTAACTCTTTTTCTTTTTGTTTGAGAATCTCTTCTATTTTTTCTTTTTCATGTTCAGGTGAAGTTGATAATGAAATTGGTGAAGTTGGTGGTAGTTCACATCTTTTTTGTTTAACCCCATTGTGGGGGTAAAAACTTAATTTTTATTTAAAAAAATTTAAATTTTAAGTATTATGATTTGAAAAAAGGTTTTAAAAAAGGTTTATAAAAAAACATATTTAAAAAAAAACAGATAGAAAAACAGATAGAAAAACAGATAAAATGTCAACAGAAACTATTGTAGAAAAATCTCTAAGATTGATAAAGGAATTAAGAGAAGGAAAGTGTGTAAATTCAATACCATTCTTTTCAAAACTATATGATTTTGATTTGTTTCATGACTTATTATCAAATCATATTGCAAAAGATGAAAAAACAGAAATAGAAGTTTTGTGGTATCATTTCCGAAACCAATGACACAAGTAGCGATAACGGTTGGTACTCCGTTAACAGCCTTTAAGGCTGGTGGTGATTCTTTACAGACTGAAACGTCATAGAAAGAAATAGCTCTACCAATAATTGAATTTTGACCACTTAAAAGAGGTAGTCGATATGATCTTGAGGATTCATAAACACCTTCAAAAATAAAAATATCATATAAACTACCTATAAAAAATAATGGTGCCGTCGATGGCCAAACAAAGAACTCCACCTCATGTGGCTCAGAAAGTGGCAGTGGTTCAGAAAGTGGCAGTGATAGCGACAATGGTTCATCAAAAATAATCTCATCATTATTTATTTTAGGTTTATTCTCGTCATTATTTGTTTTATTATTATAATTAATAAATAAACCTTTTTTTTATTTTCTTAATTTGTGCTATTAAATAATTAATTTAATTAAATATTGATAGCAGAAATAAAAAAGCAAATTATTTATTATCTTTTTATTTAATTTTATTAATTTGATTTAAAAACATTATGAATCCAACATTGATTATAATATTTATATTGTCACCATTCTTTTCTTGTTTTATTTTTTGCAAAGGTTAGATAATAAAACAAATAAAAAAACAAATAAAAAAAATATTTTCTTTGATTAAAAAAAAATACACTATCAATAATATAATAAAAAATGCCTAATCTTTTTTATATAAAAAAAAAATATAATGGTAATTTAATTATAACTTTCATTATAGTGATGAGCCATTTTTTCCATTTTCAAAAACACTATTTAATTTTTTTATAATAAAAATTTTTAAAAACAAAAAAAGCTATAAATTTGAAATCTCCATTTCTTTTTGTATTTGAATTTATTAATTTTTTTTTAAATTTCTTTTTTTTTAATTTACTTTAAAATAAAATAAAACTTTAATTTTTTTTTACTTTCATTTTAAAATTATTTTTTTTAATCAAAAACCCATAAATAAAGAAATGTTTATTTTTTTCTTGAATAACTTTTAAAAAATTTCCCTTTTTTTTCAAGAATTCCTTACAGCAATTGATACATTTTCCCTCCCAAAGAAAAAAACCGAATTCTGTTCTTTCTTTTTTATTTCTTTTTTTTTTTTTTTTTTTCCCAAATTTTTTTTTTTTCAGAATTAACGTCATTTCATAATTATTTTAAAAAAAAAATTCATGACCACCAAATAAATTGGTAAATTCATTTGATATGTGTAAACACCAAAAAAAAAAAAAAAAAAAAAAAAAAAAAAAAACAGGATTCTATACTAGCCAGTGGCTAGTTATTTTTAAAAGTTAAGATAGATTCTATACCAGTCGGTAGGCCAGCGGCTAGTTAATCTTTAAAGCCTCCCACATATTCTATACCTTTATGATTAATTATGCTGTGAGAATCCTTGATGGTTTAGGAGGAAAAAAAGGTTTTTATATTATCTTTTTTTTAAAAAAAAAATTTTTTGTGGTATTCAATTGTTAAATAAAAACTTTATTTTAAATAAATAAAATTAAATTTAATAAAAAAAAATTTAACCAAAATTTTATTTAATATAATTTCAGAATTACATATGTAATTATTATTTTAGAAGCCACAACGACCAAGAAGTTCACATTGAATATTTAGAACAACTGCCCTCATTTATATAAAATTAAAACCTTAAATCAAACGCCATACCATAGAATCAAATAAGTTTTAATTTTTTTTAAAATTCCTTTGGTAAATTAAACCATTTATAATTTTGTTGTAATAAAATAAAAAAGACATTGTATATTATTATATTAAACTATATAATAAAATAAAAAGGAAGAGTTTTTATTTTTTTTTTTTTTTAGTTTCATATCTACTTTACACACCATGTATATCTAATACATCAAGATCTGCTATTGAGAGTACTGGATCTTGATAACTGTTCATAAACTCGGTTCCAAAGTAATCTTCTTCTGGGCAAATATCTAAACTTAATGTTTGAGATGCTCTTTTATACCTTCTTACATTTCTCCACCAAAAGAAAAGAGTAATAAATGGCATAATAAAACTAATTACGATACCTGGAATAAAAGTTTTTAAAACAAACAAACCAATGGCGGTAATTTGATAAATGACCAAACCTATACAAAGACGATTAAAAACCAATTGCCAGATTAAACCACCAGATTGATATTTAGGGCAAAAAGAGTATAAATGATTATATTTTGATACAAAGAAATCGATAAGGAAATAAAGAAGACCAAATGGTAAAATTAAAGGTGATAATGTTGAATAAGAAAGAGTGATGACAAAAATAAGTAATTCTCTGCTATACTTGATTGAGTTGAGTGCTGTTGGGTCATCATGTGAAAGTGCTTTCATTTTCTGTCCATATGATGATTCTCTCGATGATCTAATAATACCTGCAATTAATTCGATTGGTCTAACTATATCTATAGGTACTGAGGTTAAAGCCTGTACTAAAATATAGTTGATAAAGAACGATGATTGTTTTGGTAAAGATTGACCTAAAAGAGTTACAATATCTTTAAGGGTTAAATCCTCTAGCATCTTGAATAAAACACCAAGAACAGAACCAGCAATCGATACAACCAAGAATACATTTATAACTAGAAAAGCCCAATAAGTAGTGAAAACTTTATGATAAAACATTGTACGGGTGGTTTCTTTGTTGAATCTAACAATTAGTTTGATAAACAATGGTAATAGACCCATAAATGCAACTAAAGCCAATGATGGAAGATAACCTTCAACAAAGCCTCTAAGAGTATCGTTTAACTGTACAACGTCGAGTAACCAATTGAGAACTGGTACTTTTGAAAGGGTTTGAATATTACTGATAGCACTGATTGCTGTTACTGGAATAGTATAGAAACAAAAGATTACAAAGAATATAGCTGAACTTATTGCTCTACGGATAAATCTACTTCGATTTGGTACTATCATATTCTTCCATCTTATATTTTTAAGCTCTGGTGCCGGAGTTACTATAAATTTATTGATATCTTTAGAGAATAAACATTGAGTAGCTTGAGAGGCATAAGACATTCTAGAAAATGTTATAAAACCAACATTTGATGCTCTTTCTGCCCATTTCTTAATATTTGTAGGTGTTATATTATCAAATCTCCACTCAAGCGAAGGAATAGAATAATCTTGACGTTGATGTACATCTTGTTGTGCTACACGTAATAACTTGTCTACATCTTCCAATTTCTTTGTATAATACTCGATACTATTGACTGTTTTTCCACCAAACATACCAGGTCTCCAACCTACAGCTCTTGTTGGTGGTACACCTTTAATATCTGATTCTGATAAAACACGTTCCAAAGACCTTTGCACATGCTTATGCTTTCTCCATAATGATCTTAATTTCATCTCTTTGTAGATCATATGACATGATAAAATTGCTTTACTATCAAAAAATTTACCAAAAAACTCTCTCATTTTATCTGCATTACTAATTGACTTGCTCATTTCTGTTACTAAAACTGTATAATTTCTTTCGTTGTGTTTTGACATCCATCTAATTCTTTTTTCTAAATACTATAATAAAACAGAAAAATATAAAAAATTAAAAGCGGGGTTAATATAAATTCTATTAAATTAAAAATTTTAAAAGATATTTTATATTTACGATTTGATTTGTTCTCTGGAATAAATAAAATGCTATGAAAGTGAATAATGGAATAGAAAGTGCATGAGCCCATAAACGTCTAGATTTTGGTGGGATTGTACCAACAGTTACTGTATCTAAAGTATTTAAAGTTACATTTAATTTCTCTTCGGTCTCTGAATCAATTGATGTATAGTTGATCGGTAAAAGAATTCCAATACCAAATATCATTAGAATGAAAATCATTTTCATACAAAGATATAAAAACTGAAGGTGAATATAGGCATCGATACCTCTATGTTCGTAAATCATTTCTAATGGATAAAATAATGTATGGGTTATCCAACGGATTGGCGAGTTAACCAAGGATACATCTTTACTTGTCTCTTTGTTTTGGCCTCTTAACATTCTTGCATTATAAAAATTCTTATAGATTATACGCAGAAAGAAAAACAAAAGCATAATAACTGTCCCGATAATTATATTTGTTGCCAATGATGTGGTAAATGTTGACCACCCCGTTGATAATGCCACATCTTCACTATTGGTATTATTTGCCTCTAATCCAACTGTTAATATATTATTATTGCTTTTGCTGTTATCGTCATAATAATTATTATTTTTGAATTGTGTCATCTTTTGTTTTAAAAAAATTTTCTAAAAAAATTAATTTTTTTTTATTTATAAAAAAACTATTTATAAATTTTTTGTTTAAAATATATTATTAATAAATATACTATTTATAATATCTATTGCTACCACTATTACTATTACTATTACTTTTACTATTATTAATCTATTGTTTTTTTTATTATGAGTGTTACATATGTAGTTTTATATTATTATATTATTTTTAGTTATTGTATAAAAACAATTGTAAAAAAAAAATCATTTAAAAAAAAAAAAAATTAAAAAAAATATTTTAAAAAATAAAATAATTTAAAAAAAATAAAAAAATAAATAAATTATAAGGTTGGTTATAAGTGATTAAAACGAAAATAAAATAAAATAAAAATATTTTATTATTGTTATTGTTATAATTTTATAGAAAATTAAAAAATAATTAATTATTCTTTCACACACGCAATAAAAAAAAATATAAATTTAATTTTCTTATTTTTTTTTTATTTTTTTTTTTGAAAATTTTTTCTAACACAGATTATTATCATAATTTGTGTAATGATTATTAGAAATATTTTTTTTTGTATTTTTATTTTTTATTTTTTTTTTCGAAAATGTTCAAACAATTTAAATAAATAAATATTTAAAGGGAAATAAATATACGTTTATATAAAATCTATCTTTTTAACCTTTTATCTGTGAAGGACAAAAAACTTATATTATCTTGGCATGTTTTAAGGGTATCTGCTGGAAATTATCAATTTTATTAAACATGATGGAACAATAATTAACATCCTGGTTTAAACTGTGGAATGATTTATAAATTATAACAATTGTTCAAAAAATTTCAAAAAAAAAAATCTTTTTTTTTATCATAAAATTAAAAAATTAATTTAATTTTTTTATTTTTTTTTTTTTTATTTTTTTTATCATTATTCATATGTTCTTTAATTATAATAAATAACAATATTAAAATAATAATAATAATAGTAATAATAAATATAAATAATGATAAAGGATATTAAATTATTAAATAATGAATCAATTAATAAAAAAGAATTTAATAATTTAATAACAAATGAATTATTAGAATTTTTAAAGATTTTACACAGAGAATTCGAAAGTAGAAGACAACAATTATTAAAAGATAGAGTTGTGATTCAATCATCGATTGTAACCAACTATTTGGAAACTAAGAAATCAACAACATCAAATCAATCAATTCAATTAAAAAGACCAAGGGAAACTTTAGAGATAAGAAATGATCCAACATGGAAAGTTAGAGAAATACCAGAGATTTTAAAAGATAGAAAGGTTGATATTGTATGTTTGGATGTATCAGACTATGAAGCATTAAAGAGATGTGTATTATCAGGTGCAAATGGTATCCAAGTTGATTTTGATGATGGCTATTCACCATCGTGGTTAAATGGTTTAAAAGCTCAAAAGAACATTTATGACATCGTTAGAGATCCCCAATTAAATACTCCAGAGTCTGCTTTACTCCTAGTTCGTCCAAGATCATTAAATTTAGATGAAATGCATATACTGATTGATGGTAAACCATTATCTGGTACAATTTTTGACATGGCTACTTTTCTCTTTCACAATGCACAAAAACTATCTGAATCTGGTCGTGGTCCATTCTTTTATATTCCAAAGATCGAGAACTATAAAGAAGCAATATTTTGGAATGATCTTTTATCAAAATGCGAACAGTTACTTTCAATTACTCCATTCAGTTGCAAATCTATAGTTTTAATCGAAAATGTTTTGGCATCCCATGAAATGGAGGAAATTATTTATTATCTTCGTGACTATGTTATTGCTTTAAATACTGGTCGTTGGGACTATATTTTTTCATATATCAAAAAGCTATCAGAGTTTCCACAATATAACATACCACAAAAATCAAAATTGGGATTCAATCAAGATTTCCTCAACTCTTATTATCGTCTCTTGGCAATGGTAGCCCATAGAAGAGGATGTCTTGCAACAGGAGGTATGGCACCACAATCACCTTCAACCCCAACAGGAACTCTAAGTGATAAAGAACTCTTATCAGTTTTTAATGGTAAAAGAGATGAAGCCAAAATGGGATTTGATGGTGCTTTAGTTGCTCATTTCAGCTCAGTTAGTCCATGCCGTGATGCCTTCAAACAAATAATTGGAAACAACCATTTAAACCATCTCACAAATTTCCGTCACTTAAACTACACCCCTTTAGAAGCAGCCAACCACTATTCAAAACTTTTAGAAACCTGCCAATCCACTTTAAACGAACAATTAATTGCAAATGTATCCATTAACGATGTTAAATCTTGTTTAAAAGTTTTATATATCTATATATACAACTGGATTTTCAAATTCAAAGGTGCAGTAAATGTTGACGGTGTTGTTGAGGATTTAGCAACTTCAGAAATTAATAGGGTTCTTTTATGGAAATGGTTAAAATATGGTGTTGAAATAAAGGAAGAAAATAACAGTCCATTAACCATTGATTTAATTTTAAAGCTATTAACCGACAGTCAATCATTAGTTAATGGCAATACTCCTCAAAAACACTCAACAGTTATTAAAATCATTTTAATTTTTTTAACAACAAACCAACTCATCGATTTTATGCCTTCAATTTTATATCCCTATATTTTAGATTTAAATTTATTATCAAAACAATAAAACTAAATGGTTTTTTTAATTTAAAAAAAAAATTTTATTAATTTATTTTATTATAATTTATAATTTATATTTGTATTTGTAATTGTATTTTATTTATATTTGATATGAATATATGTTTTTTTTATGGTAATTGAGTAATATGTCCCATTTTTCTACCTTCTCTAGCATCACCTTTAGCATAAATATGAAGATGTGAACCTTTAGTTTGAAGAGTTTTTTCCCAACTATTTACTTCAGCACCTAAAAGATTGGTCATAACAATTGGTGGTAATTGTTGTTGAATGTATTCTTCCTCGGTGATACGTTTCATTAAATCTACAGAACCTAATGGTAAACCACAAACACAACGAATTAATTGTTCAAATTGGCTAGTGACACAACCTTCAATAGTCCAATGGCCACTGTTGTGTGGTCTTGGGGCTAATTCATTGACTAATAATTGATAATCACCGGTTGTCTGATTCTTTACAACAAATAACTCTACTGCTAAAACACCTACTAAACCATTGGAACGTGCAATTTTGTTACCAATTTCTCTAGCTTGACGATGAAGTGATTCTGGTAATTGAGCTGGTGCAATAGTTTGTCTAAGAATATGATTACGATGTTTATTGGTAACTAATGGGAAAGTTAATTCACTTCCATCTAAACCACGTGCAACAATAACGGAAGCTTCTGATTCAAATTCAATGTATTGTTCGAGAATAGCTTTTGATGCGCTAGTTTCTGATGTAACTTTTTTCCAAGCTTGTTCAAGGTCTACTGAATCGGTTAATTTAACTTGGCCCTTACCATCATAACCCATTGTATTTGATTTTAAGATTGCTGGATATCCAATCTTTTCAATAGCTGATTTAAGACCTTCAAATGATTCGACTGATTGGAATTTAGCAGTTGGAATATCTAATGATTGAATAAATGTTTTTTCCATAACTCTATCTTGACAAGTTTTAAGTATTTTTGGATCTGGGAAAACTGCAACCTTTGTTGTTAAATATTCAACCGGTTCTACCATTATATTTTCAAATTCATATGTAACTACATCAACTTGTTTAGCGAAACTATCGAGAGCTGAATAATTATTGTAGTTTGATTTGGTGAAGTATGTTGAAACATGTGTAGCTGATGGGTCTGATTCTGGGCAGAAGATATGGGTCTTATAACCAAGTTGGGCAGCAGCAATAGCTGTCATACGGGCAAGTTGACCTCCACCCAAAATACCAATAACTGAACCTGGTGGTAATACTAATGCTGATGGTCTGCATGTTGAAAGTACAAATGTTGATAATGGGGTTTTATCTTGTGAAATATTGCTTCCATTGCCTGATGGTAATGGAGATTGTGAACGATTAGTTCTTGATGATGTTGGAGTTAAATTATTATTAATTAATGGAGTTGGGTGAACTGGTAATGGGGCAACAATATTATTATTATTATTAATACTTGAATTATTATGAATTGCTGTTAAAATTGAAGTAGCATTGGATGGTGATGGTGTTAATGGAGTAATTGGTGTTGAGATTGGTTGTGGAGCAGATGGAATATTGTGTGAGTGTGGGTGTATTGGTGGATTATCAACTGGTGCATCAGCAACTGCATCAGTTTGTTTCTTTCTGTAGATATCTAAATTTAATTCAATTGATGGGTAGAATGAAGCTAAAGCAGCAGCAGCTAAAAGAGCGGCATTAGTTGCACCAGCGGCACCAATTGCAACAGTACCCACTGGAATACCAGCGGGCATTTGAACGATTGATAATAAGCTATCTACACCACTTAAAGCTTTGGATTGTACTGGTACACCAAATACTGGTAATGGAGTTAAGGCTGCAACCATACCTGGTAAATGAGCAGCACCACCTGCACCTGCAATAATAATTTTTAAACCTCTTGATTTTGCTGATCTAGCATAATCAAACATTCTATCTGGTGTTCTGTGGGCTGATACAATTTTAGTTTCAAATGGTACACCCAAGGTTGTTAATGTATTTGCTGCCAATTTCATAGTTTCCCAATCTGATTGACTACCCATAATAATTCCTACTAATGGTGAATTTATATTTACTAAATTATTTATATTTGTTTGTTGATTGTTATTATTGTTATTAACATTATTGTGGTATTGTTGAGCTGAATGAATATTTGGTACACTATTTGATCTCTAAAAATATAAAATATAAATAAATAAAATAATATTAATACAAATAAAAATTAAAAAATTAAAAAATGGTAAAATGACAAAACAAAAATAATTTGAACTTTTTTTTTTTAAAAAAAATAAATTTTTAGAAATGAAAGATAAAAAATAAACTAATATAGTAATTTAATTAATTGAATTAAATTATATGTTTGGTTATAAATAAAATGATCTATACCGATGAAGTTGGATTGTTATTGCTTGTTTGAGCGGCGGTAAACTCTACTAATTTTTCTGTGGAGGAGGCAACCCAAGCATAATTATCTTCAATCATTTTTTTTTGATGATCAGAAAGAGTGTTTAAAATTGGGCCTGAATTACCAGATGGTGATGGTGATGAAACTGGAATATTACGATATACTTGCTTATCCTTCATTAAATTCTTATCACCTTTTGGCCAAATTCTCCATGAATCATTATCAATAACGTCTGCTAAAATTAATTCACCTTGTGGGGTAATACCAAATTCGACCTATAAAAAAAAACTATTAATAAACTGTATAAACCAATAAATAAAAATGACAAATTAATAAACTTACTTTAAAATCGACTAAAGTTACATCGAGTGATTGCCATGCTTTTTCTAATGCTTCAAATGATTGTTGAGCAATATGTCTAAGTTGTGATAAAACTTTTGAAGTGATAGCAACACCACCAATCTTTAAGTCCATACCTAAAATATCTGTTTCTGTAACTAATGGATCGTGTTGAACATCATCTTTAAAGGTGAATTCAATCAAGCATGGATTGAATTTGGTGCCTTCTGTGACATGAGTATTTCTCTTTAAATAACTACCAGTTGCTAATCTTCTAACGATAACTTCTAATGGAATCATAGAACATTTTTTAGCAATAAAAGAGTTTGGTTCTACCTAAAAGTTAATAAATTAAAAAAAAATTTTAAATTAATATCATATGATTTTTCCTGCGGTTTTTTTTTTAAAATTTTTTTTTTTTCTGAAAAGGCGTCGTTTCGTAAAAAAAATTTTGGCAATGAAAATCACCAAATGATATAGATAAATACTTACTTGTTTTATAAAATGAGTTTGAATACCTGATAATTGTAAAACTTTGAAAACATTAACAGTTGTGGTAGTTGAGTATATATCTTTATTTGGTAAAACATCTTTTTTAGCGCCATCACCAGCAGTAATAGACGAATTTGAAACGATTAAAACATATTGGTCATCCTTATTTAATTGATAAATTGATTTAGTTTTACCTGATGCTAAAAAAGTTTTATCGCTGGTATCAAATTCTTTATTTACAATTGACATTTTATGAATTTATATATATATTACTATTTAATTAAATTATATTGAATATATAAAGATTTAAAACTATATTATTTATAAATATTAATCAAATATAAATTTGAAGATAAAATTTTTAAATTGAATTATTGAAATTAAAAAAATTAAATTTAAATTAAAAAAAAAAAAAAATTTATTATTATAATAAATGATAATATAATTATTATATTTATTTGTAAATAATATAATTTAAATGAAATAGAAATTATAATAAGAGTATATAGTGAATGTAAACACACTGTGTGTTAAAAAAATAAAAATAAAAATAAAAAATTTAATAATAAAAAAAATAAAAAAAAAATTAAAAAATTAAAAATAAAAAATAATTTACGAAAAAAAAAATTAAATAAATTGTTTATGCGGTAATTTATGTGATAATCGGCGAAATATAAAAGGCGTAGGCCCTTTTTACTAAAAATATATTTGTCAATTTTTTTTTAAAATTTGAAAAATCATAAATTAAATAGAGTTTTAATATTCTTTTTATTAGATTTTGATTCTAAAAAGTGGAAATTTGAAATTCTATAAATAAATTTTTCCACACACACACAAAAGACCACCAGAAATCGCATGCACATAAAAAATTGTTAAAAATATATAGAATTGGATAAAAAAAAAATATTTATATATATACATTTGTTTATTTAAAAATTATACACAGGGTCAAATTATTTTTTGGTGATGTGGTTTTATAGTATTTTAAAATAATAATTGAACTGGTTTTTTTCTTAAGTAGTTAAAGACCATCCCCATGGCAACAGTGGCTAAACCATTTAAGATACCATTTTTAATTGCTGCAATAAATATTGATATGAATGTTTCTTCTTTTTTAACAACCTCTTTTCTACTTTTTTTGTTTTTTTTATTTATATGGTCAGCTTGGAAACCAAGGCCTCTAAAAGAATCATTAGTGTCATCTATCTCTATTTGGTTATATAAATTTTGATATAATCGGTTGTTTTGTGACTGAAAATTGGCATAATCTTGGTTATTCATCTTTTGGATATAGACAATGTATTGGGTATAAAATAAAAAAATTAAAAAATAAATTGAAAAAATGAAATAAAAAATTTAAAAAAAAAATAACATAAAAAATTAAAAAAAAAAAAAGAAAAAAAAAATAAAAAAATAAATAATTTTTGCACTAATCATTTATTATTATTACAAATAGGTTCTAATTTATTAATAAAAAATAAAAAAAAATAAAAAAAGATGAGGATTTGTTTTATATTGGCCAATTGATATTATCTCTTTTTTCTTTGTTTTTTTTGTGAGTTGGATTGTGATTGGGGTTGAACATTTTGGAAATTATTTTGAGGCGCGTTTTTTTTGTATGTAATAGGTGGAAGAGGAATAGCCACTGGTTGTAATGGTTGTTGTTGCATTTGTTGTTGTTGTATTTGTTGTTGTTGCATTTGTTGTTGTTGCATTTGTTGTTGTTGCATTTGCTGTTGTTGCATTTGTTGTTGTTGCATTTGTTGTTGTTGCATTTGTTGTTGTTGCAAATGATATTGCAAATTATGTTGAACAATAAGTTCAACTTGCTGTTGTTGTTGTATTTGTTGTTGCAAATCAAATTGATATAGTGTTTGGCTTCCTCTTCTTCCATGTCTTTGATTATTGTTACCAAAAATTGGTTGATTGATAAACTGGTTAAAGTGGTATTCATTTAAAGGAACCTGAATTGGTCCATTGAAATGCACTATTGGTATATGTTGATTTAATCTTGTTGCATGTGGATCTTTCCCACATGTACATGGATAGTTTTGGCCACAATTATAACAACTAAATTTAATATTTTAAAATGTAAATAAATTAAATAATAAAAAAATAGAAATGATAAGCATTATACTTACAACTTGTGTCCGCAATTACAAACAATATGATTACATCTAAATTTAAAATAAAAATATTAGTTTTTAAAAATTAAGATTACTGTTATTTGTAATTAATTTCATACCCTGACGCTTTCTCCACCCAACGTTGACATTTGGGGCATTTTTTATAGTTTTGTTTTTCAACCAATTTTTCAAATAGTTGATCACCTTTGCCATTTTCCTTTGCCCATTTTTGGTATTGTTCACAGGATAGCGAGGAATGGTAATCGACTCTACATTTGAAGCAGTATCTATTATCACATTTGGGGCATAAAAAGTCTGGATTGTCTCCTTTTTCCCAAAAAAATATGTATCCACAATCGGCAGTTGGGCAAAAACTAAATAAATCTGGATTGACTTCGATTGTTCTTTGAAAACTATATTCTTGATATTTATTAATGAGCTCTTCATCAATTAACATATTTAAATCGTTAATTGCAACTTCTTTATCGCATTTAAACCCTGGACACTATATTAAAATACATTTAATAATTGGTTTTTAAAAATTTTTTTATATATTTTAATTCTATTGATATTACCTTTATTGGATATTCTTTATCATTAATTTTACCTATGCAATACTGTTGAAAGCAGTCACGACAAATTATGTGACCGCATCCACCCGCGACTTGATGGGTTTCGAATGATGAAACTTCAGTGATACAAATGATACATTCTATCATTGTTTCGTCAGCAAGTTCTGGTGGTGCTGATGGTGGTGTTGTTTTGTTACTGTTTTTTAAATGTACATTTGAATTGCCATTCATTGACCGCTCTGTGTTAAGTGCTATACCATTATTGGTATTATTATCAAAGTTTTCTGCCAAATAGTCTTTTTGCGACGAATCAATATCTGTGATATCGCTACCTAGGCTATGCTGATTTTCTTCAATCTCTTCATGGGCTCTTTTATTTGACTTTCTATTATTGTTATTGCTATTCATGATGTTTTTTGCTTGAGGTATAAATATAATATCGTCATCTGTATCGAAGTTTGTATTATTATTATTGTTTAAAAATGATTTATCTTCAGGCTCTTCTTCTTCTTCTTCTTGATCTAATGTAAGGCACCTATTTTCATCAGTTTCTTTTTTTGTATAACTAATAAATTCTTCAGATTCAGATTCAGTATCACTATCTAAAATTATAATGTCTTTGGGGTTTTGATTTTTTTTTACAAATAATACATTATTATTATTATTATTATTATTATTATTATTATAATAATTATTATTATTATAATTATTATTATTATTATTATTATTATTATTATTATTATTATTGTTATTGTTATTATTATTATTATTATTATTATTATTATTATTATTATTATTATTATTGTTATTATTATTATTATTTCTATTTACAACTATTATATTATCTAAATCTATAATTTCAGGGTGGTTATTATCATTTTTGTTATAACTGTTATTTATAGCAAACAATCCGTTGTTAATTTCTTTATAGCTATCTTTAATGCCATTGACCAGTTGATTTATATTAGCTATTGAATTGTTATTTCTTTTTTTATTAAAATTATCTGGTACAATATTAAATTCTTCATCATCAAAGTCATTTAATATATTTAAAAGATGATCTGGAATTTTTGGTGGGTCTTTGAATGGGTTTTTGTATGGCCTCCTTTTTTTTTGTTGGACAAAGTCCTAAAAGTAAAGTCTTGTTTTTTTAAAAAAAAAAAAAAAAAAAAACAAAAAAAGAAAAAAAAAATTAAAATAAAATAAAATTTTAATTTTTAATTTTTATATAAAAATAATTTTGTTTTTTTTTTTTTTTTTTTCATATAAAATCCAATTTTCATGGAAATAGTAATAGAATAAGGCGATATAATCTTGAATCAAAGGAATTTTGATCGATCAATCAATTTTAGAAAAGGCATAAAATTATTTTTTATTTTTATTTTTATTTTTTTATTTTTTTAAAAATTAAATAGGGCTATTGGATTAATTAATTTTCAGATTTCTTTAAACTTGCTAATTGATCGACATAGTTATCTGGTAAAATGATATTGGTTGAACCAATATAAATATTCTTTTTGTAATGAGATGAGATTTCATAGATTGATCTCATTTCTGAATAGGTCATACCACCAACAACAAAAATGATAATTTTACTGCCTGAATATTTGGTTTCTTCAACTTGAACATTTGGATCAGCCCAACGTGGTTGTTTGCTTTTACCTTTGAGTGAAACTTTACTAACTGGGGCATTTGAGGCACGAGCGATTGGTTCTTCCTTTACAAATGGGAAATCTGAATTTGGGAGTGAGTCATTTACAAGATTTTCAGCGATATCTTTCATGATTGGTACATAACGACTTACTTCGTATGGTACATTATGGCCATCAGCTTTTCTAATTTTTGGTGGTGAGTTTGTTTTCTTTGTACTTTTAGCACCCTTCATTAAAGTGACACCTAAAAAACGAAGATTGGTGAATGCCATTTGTTCTTCTTGTGAGATACCTGCCATTTCCATAAGTTTACGACGATCTTCTTCTTTAATACCTTCTTGTGAGATAATATAAATCATTAAAAGACGAATTTTAGCATGTTTATCAAGAGAAAAATCTGAAAGGAAATTTGAAAGACGACCAACAATATTCTTTGGAGTACTTCCGTTAGCATCTTCACCAGTGGCCATATCTTGTTCGAGATAGGCAACTTGTTCAAGTGAAGGGAATTTGGCGGTGGCACGATCAGCTAAATTGATATGAACAGAGTATTTACTCATAATTTCTTGATATTGTGGGAGTGAACGAATGACATCACCAGCTTCCTTGAGAGAGTTGGTATGTTGTTGACTGTATTGAGATACTTGATTGGTTCTTAAAAATTCATCTAAACGTGTGGTAAGATATTCTGTTACATCTGCAATATGTTGATGACGGAGGCCTGACCACATGTAATCAGTTTCGCCCAATAATACATCTTTCTTTATAGTTTGACCATTGTTGGTGACGGTGTCATATGAAAACTTGTCATTTTGAATATCAAAAAGATCGTAAACCATTGCTTGATAGGTAAATTCGTGAATAAGTGGGGTTAATGGATCTTGACTACGATCGAGAATTAATAATGTTGCACGGTCATCATTTGGACGGAATGATTTTACATTTTTCATAACTGAATCAATCTTTTCTTGGGTGAAACTTGCAACTAAGGCTGAGACGGGATTACTACGTGAAAAACGAATAATTGGACATTCATTTAATGATACACATAATGATACCAAACGTGTTGCAATTCTATTTTGTTCCTCTGTTGAATCGAAAGCTTCTGGTGAAAATAATGAAGGTAATGAGTTGTTTTGATCGAAATGAAAACTTTGACTTTCAATTGCTAAATATTCCAAATTTAATTCTTTAAATGTTTTAATTCTTTGTACTGCTATTGATGCTGATAGTTTTTTAAATTCTGCATCTGGTAATTCTATAGTTAAATTGAAAAATATTAGGTTTTATAATTATAATTTTTATTATATTATAGGAAAAAAACTTACTTGATGTTAAAAATAAGTGAATTGCTAAATAATGTGGATGTGATTTCTTTTTAAAATCATTAATTAATAAATCTATTGATTTTGTAGTTGGTGTAAGAAAATATATAGCTTCTAAATTTGGTAATGCTTGTCTTTGGTTATCGATTTTTTCAACAACTAATTAGTAACAATAAAAAAAAATAAAAAAAAATATTAATAATCTTTTTTATACATTATTAAATTATGAGTTTATAATTTTTTTTTTTTTTTTACCTGTAACTTTTTCTTCCATAATATCAAACATGCCACAACATGATGAAATAATTCTAAGTGAGTCTTGATCTACAACTAAAGCTTTCCAACCTCCTGATGCTTCTGGGGAAATGGCTCTAACCATTTCATTTAATAATCTATTTTTTGAAATATCCCTTAATGATGTTGCCATTTTTAATATATATATATATAAATTTATTATTTATTTATTTATTTATTTATTTTTAATATATCTAATTTACACCTTTACAATTTCTATAGTTTAAAAAAAAAAATATTATGCCAGTTAAAAAATATGTTGTTAATTTTTTTTTTTTTTTACATTTAATAAAAAAATATTTACATTTAATAAATAAAAAATTAATATTTAATAAAATTAATAATTAAATAAAATAAATAAATAAAATTTAATGATATTTATTTATATAGTGGTGGTAATTATGTTTGTTGGTGTGTGAAGTAAATAATAAATAATTTAAAAAAAAAAATAAAAAAATTTAAATTTTTTTTTTTTTTATTTTTTTTTTATTTTTTTCAATTTTTTTTAATTCAAATAATTTTTTTAAGACAATGACAACACCATATATCGATTAGTTCGAATCATTCGAAATCCTAATATTAATGAATTTTTAGATTAAAGCTTTTAAATAATATGAATAGAGAATATTAAAAAATAAGATATCTTTATAAAAAAAATAAAAAAAATTAGAAAAATAAAAAAATACCCAACATCTTCTGCCAAACTAAAGTCTTGTTTATTATAAAAAAATAAAATAGTAACATAAATAACATAATAAATTATAGTTAAACCAAATTGATTATTTGTATAAAAAAAAACTAAAATAAAAAAAAGAAAAAAAAATCTAGATTGTAATTACACATTTTTTGTTTTAGTCGTTAATGACGAAAAATGTAGACCCCTTTATTATTTATATTTATCATTAATAATCATATAAATAAAAAAAAATTTTATATTTTTAATTATTTAATTTTTATTTTTATTTTTGAATTATAAATCGATTAAGTTTCTATATATCATTTTTAGTTTAATGGATGAGTTGTATAATGACTTAATTTGTTTTTCTGGTTTATTGATATCTTTTTTTAGAGGTAATTGTGATATACTATACATCTTACATTTCATTATCCATAATAATTAGAATGATAACTTCTTTCATGAGCTTGGCTGAATTTCTTTGATTAATATTCATAGGTCCAATTTGTGAATGTGAAATAGTTTTTAAAAACTTGTTTAAGTATCTCAAAACAGATATTTTCGGTTGACCCTTTACTTTTTAATAGAAGTTGGTTTTCTTTTCTTTTGATATAGCATTTTTTATCATCTTTATCCCTGACTAGATACTTTAGATAATGAATATCATATTCTAAGCTATTGGTATTACCTTCTTTTTTTTCAAAGTTTTCATAAACTTTATAATTTATTTTATAAATATTATTATTAATATTTTTATTGTGTAGAATTATTATTTTATCAATTTCATCTCCTTCTTTCCAATTAATGTTAAAAATAACACCTGTTCCTGAAAATATTTCATGAATATATTCACCAAGAACATTCCGGACTATTTTTTTTGACTTATAAAAATATTCATTAATTAACTTTTGATTTTCAATTATTGAAATTAATTGGCTAATTATTAATTTTGGTAATTTATAATGAATATAATTTATATATTCATTAGTTAGCACCATTGAATTATTTATAATTTGGTTGGTAGTTGATGTTGCTGTTGATGTTGTGAATTTTGATGTAGTGAATATTGATTTATCAGTTTTGGTATCATATTTATAAATATTTTTATTACTAATATTAATTATTTTGAATTGAGGTTTATTATGTTGGTCGGGATAATAAAAAGATTCTCCGTAATCAATATTATCATCATCAATACCATCATCATTATTATCATTATTATTATTATTATCATTTTTATCATTATTATTATTATTATTATTTATTTTTAAACTTTCTTCTTGTGTTTTTAATTGATTAAAAATTGATGAATAGTTATTATTTATATTTTTATTTGAAAATTTAATTGTATTGAATAAAAAATCTAATTTTGGAATTGTTACTATAATATACTTGATAAATTTTTCAGTTTGAACTGTATCATTGAAATCGACTTTAACAATATGTAGTCTAGGTAAATAGCAAGTAAATTGTTCTTGAGAAAATTTTTTTTTTGTAATTTCTGGAAATCTAGATGTAATGATTACTGTAAAACCTAGTTCTAAAAGATAAAAAGCAAGTCGAAAACCTAAACCTGTTCTTCCACCAAGTACAAGTGAATATTTTAATCGTGAAATTACTTTTAGACAAAACGTAGAAATAGGTAATATTTTAAAAAACATTGAACATCTATTTCCTTTAGGTGCACAAAATTTTTTGTAATTATTTTTATAGAAATATTTTAGGTACCTTCTACAAGCTTTACATTCGATTGAGATTTTTGGGGAAATTTCAAATTTTTCCTTAAATGATATTCCTTGATAAAATTCTGTATATGAACTTGGATTTTCCAATAAATAATATTGATCTTTTGAAACTTCTTCTCTTCCAAACTTATCGGTTAATAAACTTTCCATTTCTTCAAAATCAAAGACTTTTTTTGGCGATTTTATATTAAAAGGAAAAGAGTCTTGAGAAGATGAAGTGCAATAATCAACATTTTCTATATTGCTAAATGTAATGAAACCTCTGTCTAGATATTTGTTTATACGTAATTTATTGGATCTAATAAATAAACTATAAGCGATATTGTACCTTTTATTGTATGAATCTATAGATTCTTTATGCATAAACACATTGGACCCATCATAAAACACTTTGACACAATCCATATCGAATGCAGAAAGTAAATGATCAACAGATTTGTATATTTTGATTATAAATTGAATTTTTCTAAATGGGTACGTTCCAATAAATGTTATTGCATTTGGCGAACGAACAAATGTAAATGAATTTTCAAAAAGTGGGTTGGCTTCTCTAAAATTTGATTTAATAATTTCAATAGCTTGGAAAAGTTTCTTTTTGGCACTATTTAAATCTTGGCTAATAAACCAAACATCAATATCGCTTTCATGGTTAGGTGAACTTTTACCAAAGAATCTCTCGAAAAGTAATTCTTTTAAAAGGGAGCTTTCAAAAACCAATTCCATAAATTTTCTAACTAACAACACAGGCATTTTTGATTTGTATAAATATCTTTCGATTGTTTTATAATTGACGAATTCTTTTTTAATTGAGATTGGAAGTGTATCAAGACATGCAGAAATAGAGCCACCTGAAATTATTACTCTAGTTTCATCCGATTCTTCACCCCAGTCAAAGTTTTTAAATAAACCGCTGCTAAAGACACTAAAACACAACTTGAACAACTCTAGAGATGGAGAGATTGAATAGTTACCATTTTGAGGTGGTTCATAGAAAATATTGTTTTTTAAAATAGTTCTTTCATATTTTAATTCTTCTGGGTTGTTTCCGAAATCACTTTTGAATATGTTTTTGTTGCAATATAAATCTGGTTTTAAATAAAAGTTATAAGTGAACACCTCTTGGTCATAAACTTTGACGAGTTCCTCACTATTATATGGATATTTAATATTATTATTATAAGTATTATTATTGTTAATATTGTTTTTTATATTTTTAAAAGAGTTGTTTATAGTTTTTGTATTTTTATTGTTTTCATTTAAAATTGGTTTTGTTGAATATTGGAGTTGGTAATTATAAAAATTAATTTTTCTTATTTCTATTTCAACACTGTAATCTATAAACTTTAAATAATCACTAATGTCACTATTTATTGAATAATATTTATTTTTGTTATTGATTCTTTTATAAAACGAATGGATTGATTTAATATGTTCCCTATTATTAATTTTTATTAAAACTGATTCATAAATTTTTTTTATATCTTTAATATCTGAATTAGTTTTTTTAACAAAATAATTTAAATGTGAAAATATATAAATTGATAATAATTTGAAAATTTTATTATTGTTGTTATTGCTAATCAAATAATTATCAATTTTTTGATTTATTAAACTACTATCTACATATTTGAAATAGTTTAATAATCTGGAAAATAAATTAATTAGGCCAGTATCTCCTTTTTGATTATATAATTCATTGTAAACTTTAATTAAATAATTTGTAATTGGTTTGGTGCTTTGGTTGTTTTTTATTATTAGTTTAAAAGGTTTGGTTTCTTTGATTATTATGTTATTACTACTATTTTTGTCATTATTGTCATTGATATTATTATTAGAATTATTACAATTATTATTGTCTGTATTATTAATACAATTATTATTATCTATTTTTGCTAAATCATCCTTGGTTGTTTTAATTTTCTTTTTATTTTTATTATTATTATTATTATTTAAAATGTCATCAATATTCTTTCTTTTTAAATAATCTGCTTTTGTAGATGTTTTGTAATCTTCCTGATAATGAAAAATTTCCTTATTATCAACTATTTTTTTATATTTTATACAAGGATGGGGTATTAAGTGTAAAATGATTGATGTATCCAATAAAGCTAGTTCTGAAAAACACTCTATATAGAGTTTACAGTTATTTCCATTTGTAATGTATTGTAAATAGTTAATGATTATTATTGATTTTTTTCTTAATGTTTCTTTGGAGGTAACGTCAATAAATAGTCTATATTTGTATAAAAAGTCATTTACAATACTATTTCACAATTAATATTTATGGATTTGAGTATTATATGGATAATTATATGAGTTGTATAAATACATACACTGATTTTACTCTTTTATTTTTTGAATATTCTAAATCTTCTATTTGAACCACTATGTTGCATGTTTTATAGTGTTCAATTTTTTCATAAAAAAAAATTGAAAGTAATTCATTTTTTATTTTTTTTTTTATATTTAATATATCCATTATTAAATATTATATTTGTGAGAAGGTATAATAAAAAAGAGAGAGTGTGTGTGTGAAGTTAAATAAATAAAAATTGTAAAAAAGAGAGTGTGAAATTAAATTTATAAAAAAAAAAAAAAAAAATTAATTTTATTTTTAATTAAATTAAATTTCTAAAAATAAAAAAAAAAAATTTAACCAGAAAATATTGAATTGGTTATCTATTTTTATTATTATTATATAATAAATAAAATATCATTTACAAATAATATTTTTAATATACCATAAATTAAGATTAATGAACAATAAATGAAATAAATATATATTTTTTACTATTTTGTTATTTTTAACTTTTTAACTTTTATTTGTGTATTATATATGGATTTAATCTATATATATCTTCTTTTATGGAAGAGTTGTTTAATTATTTAAATTTTTTTTCAAGTTTATTAATATCTTTATAGGTGTGGCAGGTAATTGTTACCATACATCTTACATTTTTTTTTTTAATCACATTCCTTCTCCACAATAATTTGAATGATAGTTTCTTTTGTGAGCTCGGCTTAATTTCACTGATGAATTTATACTATATTTACATGCTTTTTGTGAATGTGAAATAGTTTTTAAAAACTTGTTTAAGTATCTCAAAACAGATATTTTCAATTGACCCTTTTCTTTTTAATATAAATTCGTTTTCTTTTCTTTTGATATAGCATTTTTTTAAATCTTTATCCCTGACTAGATACTTTAGATAATGAATATCATCTTTTTCTAAGTTTTTTGTATTACCATAATGAAATTTATAAAATAAATTATGAACTATTTTATAAATATTATTAATAATGTTATTATTGTGTAGAGTTATTATTTTATCAATTTCATCTCCTTCTTTCCAATTAATGTTAAAAATAACACCTGTTCCTGAAATATTTTCATTGCTACACTTACCAAAAGTTTTTTCATGACTGATTGTTTTTGGTGAATAATAAAAATATTCATTAATTAACTTTTGATTTTCAATTATTGAAATTAATTGGCTAATTATTAATTTTGGTAATTTATAATGTATATAGTTTATATATTCATTAGTTAGCACCATTGAATTATTTATAATTTGGTTGGTAGTTGATGTTGATGTTGATGTAGTGAATGTTTGTTTATCAATTTTGGTATCATAATTATAAATATTTTTATTACTAATATTAATTATTTGGATTTGAAGATTAGCCCAAAGATTATTTTCATAATTATTATCATTTTTATCATTATTATTATTATTATTATTATTATTTATTTTTAAACTTTCTTCTTGTGTTTTTAATTGATTAAAAATTGATGAATAGTTATTATTGATATTTTGATTTGAAAATTTGATTGTATTGAATAAAAAATCTAATTGTGGAATTGTTGCTTTAATATACTTGATAAAGTTTTCAGTTTGAACTGTATCATTGAAATCGACTTTAACAATATGTAGTCTAGGTAAATAGCAAGTAAATTCTTCTTGAGAAAATTTTTTTTTTGTAATTTCGGGAAATCTTGATGTTACGAATACTCTAAATCCTAGATCTAAAAGATTAAAAGCAAGTCGAAAACCTAAACCTGTTCTTCCACCAAGTACAAGTGAATATTTAAATTGTAAAATATTTCCAAGATAATAAGTTTGAATAGGTGGTATTTTATAAAGCATTGAACATATATTTCCTTTAAATGCACAAAATTTTTTGTACTTATTTCTATGTTTATCCCTAAGGTGTTTTCTACAAACTTTACATTCGATTGAGATTTTTGGGGAAATTTTAAATTTTTCCTTAAATGATATTCCTTGATAAAATTCTGAATTTGAACTTGGGTTTTCCAATAAATAATATTGATCTTTTGAAACTTTTTCTCTTCCAAACTTATCGGTTAATAAACTTTCAATTTCTTTAAAATTAAGGCCTTCTTTTGGCGATTTTATATAAAAAGGAAAAGAGTCTTGAGAAGATAATATGCAATAATCAATTCCAGATATACAATATCTAGCATTTTCAATTTTTTCTAAATTGCTAAATGTAATGAAACCTCTCTGTAGATATTGGAGTATTCTTTTTTCTTTGGGTCTAATAAATAAACCATAAGCGATATTGTACCTTTTATTGTATGAATCTATAGATTCTTTATTCATAAACACATTGGACCCATCATAAAACACTTTGACACAATCCATATCGAATGTGGAAAATAAATGATCAACAGATTTGTATATTTTGATTATAAATTGAATTTTTCTAAATGGGTACGTTCCGATGAATGTTATTGCATTTGGCGAACGAACAAATGTAAATGAATTTTCAAAAAGTGGGTTGGCTTCTCTAAAATTTGATTTAATAATTTCAATAGCTTGGAAAAGTTTCTTTTTGGCACTATTTAAATCTTGGCTAATAAACCAAACATCAATATCGCTTTCATGGTTAGGTGAACTTTTACCAAAGAATCTCTCGAAAAGTAATTCTTTTAAAAGGGAGCTTTCAAAAACCAATTCCATAAATTTTCTAACTAACAACACAGGCATTTTTGATTTGTATAAATATCTTTCGATTGTTTTATAATTGACGAATTCTTTTTTAATTGAGATTGGGAGCGTATCAAGACATGCAGAAATAGAGCCACCTGAAATTATTACTCTAGTTTCATCCGATTCTTCACCCCAGTCAAAGTTTTTAAATAAACCGCTGCTAAAGACACTAAAACACAACTTGAACAACTCTAAAGATGGAGAGATTGAATAGTTACCATTTTGAGGTGGCTCATAGAATATATTTTCATTTAAATAAATACATTTATATTTGAATTCTTCTGGGTTGTTTCCAAAATCACTTTTGAATATGTTTTTGTTGCAATATAAATCTGGTTTTAAATAAAAGTTATAAGTGAACACCTCTTGGTCATAAACTTTGACGAGATTCTCACTATTGTATGGGTATTTATTATTATTATAAGTATTATTATTGTTGATATTGTTTTTTATATTTTTAAAACAGTTGTTTATAGTTTTTGTATTTTTATTGTTTTCTTTTAAAATTGGTTTTGTTGAATATTGGAGCTGGTAATTATAAAAATTATTTTTTCTTATTTCTATTTCAACACTGTAATCTATAAACTTTAAATAATCACTAATGTCACTATTTATTGAATAATATTTATTTTTGTTATTGATTCTTTTATAAAACGAATGGATTGATTTAATATGTTCCCTATTATTAATTTTTATTAAAACTGATTCATAAATTTTTTTTATATCTTTAATATCTGAATTAGTTTTTTTAACAAAATAATTTAAATGTGAAAATATATAAATTGATAATAATTTGAAAATTTTATTATTGTTGTTATTGCTAATTAAATAATTATCAATTTTTTGATTTATTAAACTACTATCTACATATTTGAGAAAGTTTAATAATAATTTGGAAAATAAATTAATTAGGCTAGTATCTCCTTTTTGATATAATAAAAGCTGATTATATAATTCATTGTAACCTTTAAATAAATATTTTGTAATTGGTTTGGTGCTTTGGTTGTTTTTTATAATTAATTTAAAAGGTTTGGTTTCTTTGATTATTTCGATAGTGCTGTTATTTTTGTCATTATTGTTACTAATATTATTATTACAATTATTATCTATTTTTTCCATATCATCATTGGTTGTTTTAATTTTCTTTTTATTGTTAATATTATTTAAAATGTCATCAATATTCTTTCTTTTTAAATAATCTGCTTTTGTAGATGTTTTGTAATCTTCTTGATCAAAAATTTCCTTATTATCAACTATTTTTTTATATTTTAAACAAGGGTGGGGTATTAAGTGTAAACTGATTGATGTATCCAATAAAGCTAGTTCTGAAAAACTCTCTATAAAGAGTTTACAGTTATTTCCATTTGTAATGTATTGTAAATAGTTAATGATTATTATTGATTTTTTTCTTATTGTTTCTTTGGAGGTAACGTCAATAAATAGTCTATATTTGTATAAAAAGTCATTTACAATAC